AAGAGGGAAAGTTACTAATATTTTATAATGGCTTGATTAATTTACTTCTTTGAAGAGCCTATTTCTCTTCACTTAGGTACTTGATTCTCTGTAGGAGATATTCAAGTTAATATGGTATTTTATTAAACAGTAAATAAATTGATTTGGTGAATAATATTAGGAGTTTCTAATTTTCTCTTTCCAGACAGATCTGGTTACATTTTATGATAGTGCCTATAAAATAAATTGCCGGACTTTCCCATAGTTATAGTATGTGTAGTTCTTTGGTCTTGAAAAAGAATTTTTAATCATACAATTAGTCGTCTACTTAATGTAAATTTCACATTTGATTGACTTAACTGAAAGTTTCAAATCTAATTACTCTTTACTGTACTATGTTAACCGTTAATTGAGGTCATAAGTATGTTGATATGAATTTAGCTGAAATTCATCAATGTAGTTGCAGCCTAATTATCGTTTGCTTTTGTGTAATAAGAATTGAGAATATTTATATAGTCAATATTATACCAACAATATTCACGGAATAAATAGATCACTACTGACAGTTGTTTCAGAGATGAGTTTCTTGGAGCCTAGAAAGAAGAAAAAAGTCATAAAACCAGGACCTATTGAATCAAAAGACGGCATACCTTATGACTATATTGTAGTTATAGATGCCGGATCTAAAGGTTCAAGAGTGTATGTTTATAATTGGTTGAACCCTCTGCATATTCTTACCAATGATATAGATTTGAATGAAATAGCCGAGAATAAGGAATTCAAATTGGTCAGAAGATTTTCCATTGACAGCATTGATGGTAGGGATGATGATGAAGACACTGATCTGGAAAATGAAGTGGAAAGTGACAATTCGGATAAGGAAAAAGATAAAGATAAGGATAAAAATGGAGATAAAGGTAAAGATAGAGAGACAGACAAAGACAAAGGTAAAGTCAAAGAGAAAGAGAAAGGCAAAGACAAAGGGAATGATACAAATAAAGATGATAAAGAGGTGTCGGAGAAAGGTAATGCTCGAAAATTACCGTTCGTGGGATCCCAAAAGAAATGGAATAAAAAAATTAAGCCAGGAATTTCGTCCTTTAATTCAAGCATTCAGAAGATCGGAAATCATCATTTGAAACATTTGCTTCAACTAGCAAGTGCTGTGGTTCCTAAATCCCAGCATTCTAGAACACCAATATTTTTACATTCGACCGGAGGTATGCGGTTATTACCTCCTACAGAACAGCAACAAATTCTAGACAATATTTGCAAATATATAACACAAAATTCAGATTTTTTTATCCCTGAGTGTTCTTCACATGTTAATGTTATAGACGGGGATGTTGAGGGCTTATATGGTTGGCTTTCCATAAATTATTTGATTGGCGCACTTGACAACCCCCTGAATCATCAACATGGAAAAAACCATACTACTTATGGACTCTTGGATATGGGAGGAGCTTCGACCCAAGTAGTTTTTCAACCTAATTCTACGGAGGTTCAGGAACATCAAAATAACCTTTTCAAAGTAAAGCTTATGGAACTTCCTACATTGACTTCAGATGAGCAGCATAAGGAACCAACCAGAAGAAGTGAAAATTCTATTGGCAATTTCAATGTACCAACTGAGCTCGCCTTTGACGTTTATTCCGATTCGTTCTTAGGATTTGGGATGTTCCAAGCTCATAGTAGATATTTGTCATTTTTAACTGAAAAGTATGCTGAAGAACATCAGTTGAATAATCCCACGTACTATGGTAGTTCGCACAGTCCAATTCCAGATCCATGCTTGCCAAAGGGCTACACTACTAAGTCAGTTATTAATGAAGACTCTGTAGATTTCACAGGTGAAAGCGATTTCAACAAGTGTTTGAAATCAATTTTTCCTGTATTACATAACTCCACACATAGTACGGGTTCCGGGAAAGATGAAAATTGTAAGGAGTTCAAAGACAGCGATGAATCTAGCTCGTGTTTGTTAAATGATTTGATTCCAGCATTCGACTTTGACGTGAATCATTTTGTAGGTGTAAGTGGATATTGGGATGCTATTACTAATTTATTGTCATATGACGATAATAGTAGAAGAGATTTATCTACCACATTAGATAAAAAACTGAAAGAAAAAGATACGGCCGATACTTATGATTATAAAGTGATATACAAAGCAACTTCCAAATTGTGTTCTCAATCGTTCAGTAGACTTATTGAGTTGAATAATATAAGACCAGAGAAAAACCAAATGACTGAAGTGGAGTTGGCCGACTTATGTTTTAAATCGTCTTGGATTTTGAATTTTTTGCATCTCGGCTTAGGCTTTCCTAGATTTGGAATAGATGAATATGCAGCAGAAAATAGTCGCTTCAAATCACTACAGCTAGTCGAAAAGTTGGGAGGCTCGTCTTTTTCATGGACTCTTGGTAGAGCCATTCTTTATGCAAATGATGAATATGTTCAAGCATTCAATAATTTTACGGCGGATACAATTGGATTATCCGAAGAGGACCGTATCACAAACAAAGATAAGATACCAAGATCCGGATTTTATCACTCAGCATCATCCAGTGTGTTCCATTTTGGAGCCGAGCAAAATGGCATTCTCCCAAGACCCCAGTTCAGCCTTCCTTTAAAAGGTGCTAAATATCCGATATTTGATTACGAAACAGAATACCATCCTGATTATAAGGAATCTAAATGGTACATAGAACCTCATCGTTGGTACGGATCGTTGGTTTTCATGTCATTAATAGGCTTCATAGTGTGGTTATTGATAGGTAGAAGTGGTAGAGCTGCCTTGGTTGGTAAAACTAAAACTAAACTCAACAGTATAATTAATTTAGTTACCAAGGGCAGAACCGGTAACGGGTCATATTTTAAGCTAAATAACGAAGTAAGTAATGATGGCGACCTAGAGTTAGCAGATTTTGAATTAAATGGACTGAATCAAAATCGCCAGAATATATCGCCTGGCACGGATGACCATTTTAAGATTAATAGTGATGAAGATTGATTAAGTTTTCTTTAAAACTCTTCATATTTGTAACAAAGCTTTGAATCTAGCATGTTGTAGATTTTATAATGAATGTATACTGTCAGATCAAAATTAATATCTAGTTGTAAATTTCGCATTTTTAAATTATACTTTTCCCCAGAATACTATCCCTTGATCTATATAATACTTTAATCAATAATTGTACCAATTACATACTGAAACAAAACAATCCAATTTAGATAAGTAGTAAATATTCAAGAGTAATAGGTTATAGGTGTCTTTCGAGTATGAGTGAGCCAACCGTGAACTTTCATATTCAGACGAGGCTAACGGAATTCAAAATTCCTACGGAATTAATTAAGAAGAATTTTAAAGCTATTCAAAAGCAAATAGAGAAACAAAAGAAATCAGTTGGTGAAGATGTGGCAAAAATCAAGAAAAACAGCAAATTGCCCACGGCAATAAAGATTGAAATGATAAATAAATTGATAAAGAGTTTCGAGACATTTCAGAAGAGATTACAGACATCCATAAGTAGAGACGAAATATTTAGGTCTAGAATAATGGCTCGTTTAGAAAACTTAACTGAATTAACTAATTACACTATCAAAACAAATGCTGTTCCTGAGTTGAATGCTAGTCCAATTGACTCAGACGATAATAGAGACGAAAGCTTGGCTACACCGAAATCTATGGAGGATGAGGACAGGCTTTTGGATTTGCACAATGTTAACTTAATTAACTGGTATAGAGATCAAACCAATTTGCTAATTATTGATTATTTGATTAAGTCCAATACAAGATCAGATCAGAATATCGGGTTGCAGTTATTAAAGAGCATATCTCAAACAAATCCCAAATTTACGAAACTTATTGATTACGATTTATATGATAATTTTAACAAGGTGTTTGTTTCAATAATAGAAAACCATGATCTTTCATTAGTGATTGCCTGGTTCAATGAGAATAGGAATTTCTTGAAAAAAGCAAATTCCAATTTAGAATTTGAAATAAACTATTGCAAATTTTTGTCACTCATAGAAGAAGGTGATGTGAATGAAGCAATAAAGTATTCCCAAGCGAACCTTTCACCATATGGGAATAAAGGTAATTACCAGTCTCAAGAATTTATAAATCATGAAAGTAATTTGAACAAACTAAAAGAAATAGGTGGTTTGTTGGTCTATATGGCTATTAATGAAAAAGCTAGTACACAAGTCGATAAAAGTATCCCTTTTTCAAGTTCTTTAGTTATCAGATCTCCACGGTTTAAGGAATATAAGAAGTTATTATCGAACGAAAGATGGGACAGTTTATCTCAGTGTTTTATTGAAAATTTTACAAAGCTATATGGTATTTCCAGAAATTATCCGTTATTCATATATTTATCTGCTGGATTATCAAGTCTAAAGACAAAATCATGTTATTGTAATACCGAAAACACTATTTTCAAGCAATACATTGAATCATTAGAATCTAATGAGAATGTGTATAAGAAAGATTTAGCAGTATTAACAGATAAAAAATACAGGGGCCCAAATAAATATTATAAGTTGTTGAACAAAATAAATCATTGTCCGGTATGTTCACCTGAGCTATATAAATTGAGTAAGAATTTGCCTTATGCTCAACTAATTACAAGCATTTTCAACAATCCTTTCAAGTTACCGAATGGAAATATATATCCATTCGACAAATTGCTAAACCCATCAGAGAAATATTTATCAGAGAAAAACACACTATTAAGGATGGGAAAGGTTAAAGACCCTTTGACTCGTGAGATATTCCTTATTGATGATTGTGTAAGAGTATATCCTGCTTAGACTACGATTTCGTTTGTATATTATTGTCTTTTATTTTTATTTTATTTCCTTATGAAATATAACGATTATTATGCGTCTATGATAGAATATATAAATCTAATTAATGATCAATCATCCGAATCAGAATCGGCGGCCCTCTTCTTTTTATCATCTTCCTCCTTTTTAGTAAATTGCTCAAATATGTATATCCTTGCATCTCTTTCTGCTGCAGGTTTTGTAGTGTCACGTACACTGTTAGTTCGCCTGTGATGGTAATCTGGAAACATTTGCCAACTAAATTTTCCTGAACGTTCAACCTTATAATTTTCACTTCTTCCCAATATTTTAATGTTCCATGAATTGTATGGCTCACCTTCGAACAATGTCAAAATAATCTTACCTTTATTTTCGTTTACTGCACTAGAAGCATATCCTGCAAAATCATTCTCCATATCATTATTTACCAATTTGAAAACTTCCCTACAACTTTTAAAATAATTCAATACTAACTTTTGATGATCAACGATATTCCTGTCCACATCTTTTATACCCTTACCAGTGTGTGGAAAATTGAACATTATGTAGTCTAAATTCTTGTTGTCAGAGAATAATCGAGATTTCACTTTCTTTTTATTCTTACCACTATGGTTCAATTTTAAAGAAGAGACTAGGTCAGTCGCATCAATACTGTGAAGTACTTGTACTCCTTCTTCGATAAGAAAATTTAAATTGTCTTCTACGTTAGGATATTTCTGTATTAGCTCATCCTTAGAATCGAAGCTGGTTGCTATTAGATTTCCTGGTGCAATAAAATTTTCCTTGATTATAGATACTGCGAATGAAAAGTCACCTTCTCCAACAAGTAGAAGCTTGTCATCTATATTGAACGGCTGTAAACCTTTTTGTTGAATTTGTTGACGTTGGGGTTTCTTTTTATTATTTTTTCCACCTTTAATGGACTTTTCTTTCAATGCTTGTTTGTCCTTTTGAATTTCAAGAGATTTTTCTTTCTTCTTAAGCAATTCTTCTTTGGTAGCAAGACGTGCTAGAGCACCCTTCAAACCTTTACTATTAACTAATTTGCCTTTTGGTTTTTTTGCCATTATGCAACACTTTAAGTAAAATATTATTCATATAGAGATTAAATTTAAGATGAGCATCGTAATTCAGAAGCCGTTTTTCGCACCTACGCTTTTGGATTTTGTTATAAATCTAATGATTTTGCCTGATGTATTGAATTATACTACCCACTATGTAAAATTTTCTAAGTCAATATTTATATATGAAAAGCACGCCCCTCTTCAACATTATAATCATCCGTTGAGAGGATGTTTTCATCTGGTTCCCTTCCTAAGTTTTCTTTCAGAAGACCAATATCGTCGTCGTCACTCAAGCCACTACTTTCGGAATCTTCATCATCCTTATTACTTAAGTAGCCGTCTTCGTTTGAAGCACTTTCTTGGGTATTTTTCTCTTCATATGTCCCATTTCTTAAAGCGGATTGCAGATTACCGCGACCACTGTCCAGTTCCTGATCTTCTACTTCATCATCATCATCCAATGGTTGTAAAACTTCATTCACACCATCATTATATTCATAGAATAACATGAACGTACCTTGTGAATTCAAAACTTCACTTTCAGTTACCACATACACAGATTCATCGCTGATTCTCCACCATGATCCACGTAACTTACGGTAACAAATATAATGTCCGTAGTTATGAGTTCCGAAATGAGATATGACGGCTTTTAAATTGTAGAGGAGCTCTGGATTTGATGGGCTTGAATTGCTCTCGTTCTCAGAAGAGTCAACAGTTGAATGACTGTATTTGCTACTTTCTAATGATTCCTTGTCTTCAAGATTATCTTGATCAGAAACAGATACATCATTGGACGATTCAGATTCGGAGCTGTTAGAAACTTTATTGATATCTGAAAGAGGGACTTTTATAGTTCTTTCATCTTGCTTTCTGAATGGTAATCTCGCATCCATATTAATGTCTTTAGGCTCTGTAACAAATGCAGTCAAATCAAATCTTGAAGGGAATGCAACATTACTAGGGTTTTTAACGATCATATAAGTCTTTGGATCAAATACAGATCTGTTTATATGGATTGCCAATAAAGGTGGTGGTCTGCTTAAAGATATTTGTTTCGATTTTTTTGTTTTTCTAATCATCTGTTTAATCGATAATTTTTCGAAGACGTCATCCGTAATATGGGGTTGTGACAATTCCTTTTCAATTTCATTAACTCTGTTCTGAAATTGTCCTATAATTTTTTCATTATTTGCTTCAGAAATTTTGCCTAGTAAGAATTCCTTCGTTTGTACTAATCCACACCTATTACAATTGACATCTTCAATTATTTCAGGCGCTATCCAATCATTCATTAATGAATTTAAGTCATATCCAGAATAGTAGGATGACTTATTTGGTAAATTCAAACTTAAACCACTGTTAACAGAGTAACGAATTCCACCTACTTCACCACATACTAAACATCCAATTCTTTCAACAGATATCCCATCGACTGGGGTAACTAAATCCAATGGATATACTTTGTGATCAATTTCTAACAAATTTGGATCAACTTGTGAAGCTGGTACATAAACCTTACCTAATCTACCTAATTCTTCACAACCGGAAATTAAATTAGGAACTAATGCACTATCAACAAATTTGTCACTGGGCAACTTCTCAGAACTTTCAGGTTCAGGTGTCAGTTGCCTAGACTTAGAATCTTTTTTGTATTCTGATTCAACGAGATTCATCACTAATTGATAGAATTCTTGTGCATCTTCTTGATTATAACCGGTGAAAAAGTTTTGTTTCGGTCCATTAGGCATCTTATTCAACAAAGGTTTTGCACTAAACTCTTTACCTCTAGATCCATACGATCCATTAATACCTTCCAAGAACCTCCTCAATGCAGCTGTGAAAACTAAGTCTGGTTTTGGTGTGTTAGACTTCAACGTAGTTGGTGCAGCCTCTCCTGAAATCTCGATATCCGAGTATAGATAAGAATCTATAAATTTCAATAAATGTTTGGATGAAGCCAACGATTGCAATACTGAATTCATAAAGCATGTGTTTCCGTCGTTGCTTATACCTCCTAATTCTCCACCATTTTTAACAGCGAACCTAGTCTCTCTTGATTTTTTGGAAGGTCCAAATCTTGATTTATTTGATGTCATATACCTGTAGCCTGAATTCATATTAGAAAAAGCTTTATTAATTATCTCTGGAATACTGTACGTTAAAGAATGTTTTCCGTAATAAAGCGAAAGGAATATACTTAATAAAACTAATGACGAAGTTGTCGCAAGGGATACTTTGTTAGACTTAATGAATTTGGATATGGAAGTTATGTTACCACTAGGGACAATATTACTAAAGAATGTAACAGGAAGCACTTTGTTTAAGAACGTTTGATTAATTAAAGGAACGACTATTATAGTTAATAAAACAAAAAATGCTATTGATTCTTTGAAAATATACAATGTCATACAGAAGAACCAAAAGAACTGATCAGCTCAAGTACTTTCCGTTCTCTCGTAAAAATATCTTTAGAATGAAAGTGTATATGTTCTTTGTAATGAAGCTATTTTTTATAAAAAGAAAAATTGATGGAGCAATTGGTTTGTGTAATATTTCATGTCCACTAAGTAACATATTTTTTTATTTAGCTTTTATATTGGATTTTACATAACAAAACAAGAGTCCAATGCCTCCAAATGAATGAAAGACATACAGGGATAACAGGAGAAAAAAAGGTGGAAAAGAGATGATAAAAATGAAAAAAAAAGTCGGCCATATACAGATACGAAATTCTTTGATATTATGAGATGAAATTCTTCATGTCTAATATGCAAATTGCTTGTACACATGTGGGTCAGCCTAGTCTATGGTCTACCTTGATTGTACATTGGTGGTGGTGGAACACCTCTTGCGAAGTTCTGGAATTGACCCATTGGAGGTCTATCCTTACCCCAACCACACTTCAATGGTCTGCCATTGATAGTAAAGCCAGCTAATTGAACAATCGCAAGAGCAGCTCTTTCATGGGAGTCATACTTAACAAATGCACAACCTCTTTCAGGATGGAACTTGAAATCAACGATAAAGCCGAAATTTTGTAACAATGGGATCAAGTCTGTTTGTTGTGTAAAGTGAGCGATATTTCCCAAATACACAGTAGTTTGCCATGAAGGGGTTTGTCTTAAAACAATGTCGTATGACTGAGGAGACATTACTGGAATATTTGCCTGATTACCATTATTCGAATTATTTGCTTGAGAAACATTATGAAGTTGTTGCTGAGATGGGGGCATATTACCTTGTTGGTTTGGATTAAATTGACCATTTCCGACAGGCATTCCATTATTTTGATTTTGAAGTTGTTGAGGCATTGCATTGTTAAAAGGTCTAAATTGACGGTTATTTTGATGATGACGGTTGTTGTTTCTATAATTATTATTATTGTTCAATTGTTTATGAGAAGCCCAATTACACCTGATCGCTCTACCACTAATCCATTCACCATTCATTGTTTGTAAAGCTAACTCAGCATCTGATTGTTGACCAAAGCTTACAAAACCATAACCTCTAGATCTTGAGGTTTGCATATCCCACATAACGTGGGCTTGTTTCAAAGATGGAAACTTAGAAAATGACTTATTTAAAGTTTCATCGTCAACTTCTGGTGATAAATCACCCACAAAAATATTGAAGGTTGGTTCATCTGGATTTAATGAGCTGATGGTTGAAGATTGATATGCCCAATTGATTTTTATCTCGGAGTTATTGATAATTCTTCCATTGAGTGTGTGCAAAGCCATATCTGCAGATTGAGTATTTTCAAACTCAATGAAAGCATAATTGAATCCTGGTCTGTTCTTATCATTCAATATTTTAACAGATTGGATTGCACCCGCAACTGCAAATAAATCCTTCAACATTTCGTCTGAAACTGATTTATGCAAACCTCCAACATACAAGATTTTGTTGGAAACTTCACGTCCACCTTCAACTGCACTTGCTGGATTCGTATCTACCGCCTGATCATTTCCCTTTTGTTGTTGAGTTTGCTGGCCTGAATGTGGCTGTTGTTGTTGTTCTTGTTGTTCCTCCGTTTGTTCCTTTGGCTGTTCTTCGATAGTAGTTTGCTTTTCTTCCTCAACAGCTGGTCCTTTTTGTTCTTTAACCTCTTGTTGTTCCAAACTTTCTACTTGTTGTTCGACTGGTAGTTGTTCATTAGCCTCAGTGTGCTTCACAGACTCAGTGCTTTGTTGATCTGACATTGTTGATTATGCAAAAAACTTTTAATTAATAAAGTAACACGTTTTGTATACGGATATAAAAAGGTAATTGTTATCGGATAAAAAATCTATATTAATATAGTATTCAATAGATTGTTAATAGATTGTTAATAGTTCAATATAATACCACTAAAAAAAACCTCCACGACTTTGATAAATGAAGGATAAAAATATGTCTATAATAATAAAAATTATATTAAAAAAAAGGATTGAAATGATTTAAGTTGTTAAGAATAACGTAGATTCTTCGTACCTTAAACTTTCAGTTAATTGATTTAATTTAAATATGATTAACTTGTATAGATAAATTATCCTCTATAATTCGACTGGACGTTTAATTAATTTTCTCGGGATTCAAAAACACACCAAACGATTACATAATCGATTGAATTTTCACAGAAATAATACTACGATGATAACAGGCATATAGTTAGATATATCAGAAGGATGACTAGGTGTATAGTGATTGGAATTGAGAATGCAGTCCAGATCAAGTCGGTTAAAGTATTTTTGGAAGAGCTAGGGGTATTTAATCGGAATAAGAAGATTAGTAAATCAGGGAATTTGCACCAATTGTATACTACATGTGAGAATATAGACGAATTAGAAGGTATTCCTGAAAAGGATATAGAAATTGGTTATTACGAGGCTGATGAAGGTCATAGAAGAACCTTGGAAGCGGTGGTTAGGGAGCTTTTGACAAAAAAGGAGGTAGGGGAAGATATAGAGACATTGATGCAACATGTACCGAAAAAATGGTCAGTGTATCCCCCAATGATTCTACTAAATTCAGGCACGTTTGATACTGATACATGGACCAGATTGTTTGAAGATGTGGGTATCAAGGATGAGTTTTTCAGACATATACTTTTAAGTGGGGTTTTTCCGAGCGGATTGACGCATATTGCGGTGAACAAGCCGATTATAGAAGAAGATGTAATGAGAAGACCTTTCAATATATTGCCAGTATACGGTGATTTTGGACCTGAACCCTCTGAAAAGATGTTTGATGATCCTACAGAAGAAGATTTTGAAAGGGCCTTTTGGTGTTCGGCTGTTCAAAACGGAATCTACCAGACATGGGCACCTCGATTTACAATGTTCTCCAGAGGAAACATAAAAGAGAAAAAAAGGGTGTTGGAAGAGTGCAAAGATGCAAACAAGAAATGTGTGTTTGATTTGTACGCGGGCATAGGATATTTCACACTCTCTTATCTCAGGAATGGGGCTACAGTTTTCTGCTGGGAGATCAATCCATGGTCTATCCAGGGATTGATAAAGAGTGTCACTCAAAATGGCTACAAATACAAGTTGATAGGGAGACAAGACCTGTTTGACCATACTTCCTACACTAATTGCGATCAAGATGGTGTGGTGATATATATTTTCCACGAGTCAAACGAATTTGCTATGGATAGATACCTACAATTTCAGAAGATCCTACCTATTGCGCATATAAATCTTGGGCTTCTCCCGACCTCCGTACCATCGTGGCCCACTACAAAGGCTTTGGTACAGAATTCGTCCACGGGAACCGTTATTCATGTTCATGAGAATGTACACGTAGATGATTTTGTCAAAATAGGCCAAAAGGCGGCAAGTTACTTCGAAGGGAATATGATCGCCATAAACAGGGTCAAAACATTTGCCCCAGACATATGGCATGTGGTAATAGATATCTCGCTCAAGTAGCCTACATATACTTACTACTGTCACATATATGGCACATATATATATATATATCCATGTGGAAGTCAAATTCTTCCATAACAGAACTACAGTTCAACCTCGTACCTATATCGCATACATAATTTTCTAATTTCCTAGGCCAATAATAATGTAGATAAGAATATGTCAGTGTAGATGATGCTATGCCGCATAATTTACCAGTCAAATAGGATGTCAATTAATCCGTGAGATGTACTAGTTTGCCAGGTATTCCTACATTGACAAATCTCCAGGAAGCCTTTCCTACATCTGCTGAAATATTAGTTCAGGTTAATTATTTACATTTTGTCACACTTATTATCCACATGCACCCGGTACTTTGTGATAAACAATAGCATTCGATGAACCGTTGTCGGTCAGCCGTGCAGACGGAAATGTTTGGTTCAAGGTGTATGGATCACATAATCCTATTGTTGCTGAAAGGATGTCATCGTAGTTTTATAGACATTATTAGCCTATCGTGTGAAGCTCAAAACCTCATGATATCAACTGCGCCATTTTAAACAACATATTGAAGTGTTGAAGCACTTGTTACAAGCTACTACTAGTATATTGAGACCAGCGGTAAAGTAATAAAGCAATATATTATCCAACCTGAAAGGCCACTATTAAAATTAATTGAAACGAAAGCGGATTAAATATTTGGTGAAATAATTCATTGATTAAAATACTGCTTGAGGTGCACTATACTAGAAAATTATAAATAAAAACGATTGATAGAGATTTTTTATTAGTGGGTAAATAAGGTGTGGCAATATGTCAAATGAAATCAAAAGTGAAGAAGATCAGCTATATGATATATTGAATCTTTCACCTCCAGTAGATATAAAGTTAAACAGTCCTATAAATATGGCAGGACTGGGCCGTTATAACTCAATGGAGGAGAACCAATACCTGAAGCCAGAAACGGAAGATTTATTCATTAAACCAGTAATGGGGGTACCGGTGAATGCCCAGCCGATGCAATCCGCAATGCATGGAGGAGGAAACCAACGGATGTCACATACAAACACGAACTCTTCAATTTCAGTAGGCAATAACCAACAGAATGGAGATATGTACGATGGAATGTTCAATAGGAATGTGAATATTAACTTGAGCAATAATCCAGGATTGTCGTTAAATTCTAATAACCTTCAGCAATTAAATAGTGAGTTATTGTCACCGCCAAACATGTTTGGAAACCTGAATCACCTTCATCCACAATCCCCCTCGGTATATTCATCGCATTCATTGTATAGTGATACCTCGCTGAATCCAGGCAGTCCATATGTCGACGCTGCTTCGCATTTCAGTAATGCTTATTCTGATGTGCAACAGCATCCACGACAACAACAACAACAACAATACCTTGACTCTAATAACCAAGGTAACTTAAATTCGTTTGATACTGAAATTGCCCTAGGAGGTTCTATTTCGAGTACAAATCTCATGGGTATGTCAGAAAACGCAATGCAACAACCTGTTCCTCAATTTAATTACTCAGTCACCCAAGCATTTAACGGACAACAAGAACAATATAATGGAAGCAATAATTTAGATTCAAATAACCAAAGCTACAATTATCAACAAAACTTGAATTCCATGAACAAGTTGACAGAAAATAACTTGATTAATTATAATACAATGCAAAAAGAGTCACAGCGCGAGGTGTCAATTTCCATAGACCAGGTACCGGAGCAAGTGGCGGCCAAAACACCATCTTTATTCAGTAATTCATCACATAATTCGTCTAATAATTCTCCTCATAGACAAAATCATGGCAATGAGTTGATACCCAATTATCAATTAACGCCTACTAGTCCCGGGTCAGTCATTTCAGACGTATCCGATCAACATAGTTCGTTATTAAATCCAGATGAGTATCAAACCATTAAGAGAGGTAGAAAGAAGAATCATTCTGCAAGGTCTCTGCGGTCTAGACTGACTTCCCGGTCTAGATCGAAGAGTATATCCCAGGAAGAGGATCTCGATGACGATGAAAGCTCTGTTGCTTCGAATAATGGGGCAGTTTCGTCAAGAGAAAAGATGTTAGAATTGGCATCACCAAATCAATCCTCCAAAAGAACTCAAAAGCATCCATCCGTATACGCGTGTCATTTGTGTGATAAGAGGTTTACAAGGCCTTATAATTTAAAATCACATCTTAGAACCCATACCGATGAGAGACCTTTTATTTGTAATGTATGCGGGAAGGCTTTCGCAAGACAACATGATCGTAAAAGACATGAGGATTTGCATACGGGAGAAAAGAAATTCCAATGTAAAGGATTTTTAAAGGATGGTACACCCTATGGTTGTGGAAGAAAGTTCGCAAGGGCGGATGCTTTAAGAAGACATTTTCAAACTGAGGCAGGTAAGGAATGTATTAGACTTCTAGTCGAAGAAGACGAAAGAGATCGTGGGGATGATCCGCTGAGAGATCCAGCATCTATCGGTGAATCTGGAACAGCTAATGAATACTTGAGTCCAACGAGTGCATTAATAAGTAGTACGTCGAATAGCATGCATTCAATTCCTCAAGTGGCTATTTCTCCTCCAGATTAAATTTCAAGTCATATATCAGAATATTGAGTACATATCATATGTAAAGGTTTCAAATATGTGCTCCGGTGAAGCTGAGAAAAATCACCTGTATATTCTGATAGAATTTCATCCGGGATTCAATTTCTCATTGTACTATATTAAACTATGTTTGGTTAAGATAAGAGGGTTGTATTAGAATTTGGGATCTCAAAGCTTAGTCAAATTCTAAATAGTGTATACTTAACGTTGACATTTACAAAAGGATGGAGCTTACCAACCTGTCTTAAATTTATATAGCCGCAACGTTAAGGGTATATACGATTAAAGGACGTTAGAATTTGCATTGGATAATTTTAAATAGGACTACATATGCGTACCAACAAGGAATGAAAAATTATTTACTAATAAAGCTGTAGGTTAACTTTCCAGCGTAGGATTGGAGTTTTATGGCTCTGGTATCATAAGAAATTCGCACAAAGGTGAATTCAATTTTTATCAGAAATTTCTGGTTTAGAATAAGCATTTTGCGTTATTAATCTGCAAAATGTCATTGGAACATGATGAACAGATGATAGATAGGTTATCGTCTAACTTCCAGGAGGTTAAGAGTAAGGAGGAAAAAACTCTTGAAGAATTACAGCTTTCGAAACAAGAATTAATGAATAAGCAAAATAGAGAATTCCTCGAAGAATTATTCAAAGATAATGCAAGTACACCTGTAAAGATTAAGAACATACAAGTTACCAATTCCCAATCATTCAGAAACAATTTTCTTCAAACGCAACTCCAACCTTTGTTGTCTAATAATTTGTCTACATTAACAAAGTTAACTGAGAACATAGATCAAGTAACTCATAACTTTACTAAATTGGGTCTTGTTGAAAATTTGTTGGTGACATTGAATCCAATACCGAAGACATATTTAAGTAGAGGCAAACCGTCTATTGACATTGTACCAATTTTCAATATTATACCAGTGAAGCGTTTTTATGCTAAAACTGGTACAAACATAGGAAATGGCGAAGGTGATGGGTATATTCAATTTCAAATCAAAAATATTTTTGGTGGGGCAGAAAACCTTACGTTTGATGCTATTACTGGTACAAGAACACAATCGTCTTATTTGCTTAATTATAATCAACCAATTTTTAATAATGCAAATTATATCTGGGAAAACTTGGCGTACCTCAATGTTAAAAAATTGCACTGGTTGAATAGTGACCTTGATGTTAAAGGAATGACTAACAAGATATACACACAATATAAACTGCCTATAAACCACGAATTAATTTTTGAGAATTGTTGGAGATGTTTGACAAATAATCAATCAAAGTCTCTAGATGTTTTAAACCAACTGGGTAATAACTTCAAGTCATCAATAATGTATAACTGGAGATATGAATCTAGAAATAATATTCATTTGCCTACCAGTGGTAAATTTCTCAGATTAGGTATTGAATATTCTGGTTTATGGAGTTTCAACTCTTCACATTTTATCAAGTCAGTAATGGAATCTCAATTTGCTTATAAACTTAACAAATACCATTCAATTATCATGTCTTGTAAGTCAGGTTTAATATTTTCTAAGGATAATGCAACTCCTTTATTAGATAGGTTCTATATTGGTGGACCAAATGATGTAAGGGCTTTCACGTTAAATGGTTTAGGACCTAAAAACTATAATTCATCTATCGGAGGTGATGTCTTCCTTAATGGAGGTTTATCACTTATTTCCAAATTTCCAAGAGTAAGTGATGACTCTAATTTTAAGATTCATAATTTTATTAATTTTGGCAAATTATTACCCCTAGACAAATCTAAAACATCTATGGAGACAATTAAGAATTTGACTACTGAATTCTCGATTGGATATGGTTTTGGTGTTCTTTATAACCATCCAATGGCAAGATTTGAATTGAATTTTGTTTTACCTATTGCTTCGCACGAGAGAGATTATATACGGAAAGGCTTGCAATATGGTATTGGTATTTCCTTTTTATAATTGTAAATAGCTTGTATATTATAATGTATACCAAAAAATATGTAAATTCTTTTTTATGCTTTATATTTATTTAGAATATTTTTCAATCCATTGGGAGTGTTCCTTAATTACAGCAGGAATAATTAATCCTTCGATGTCCATGTCTTTAGCTTTTTGTTCGTCTGTCAATCTAATCCAAACTTCTGATCCATCCGGATGCACAAATACAACTTCCTTCTTTCTAGTTTGCAATAAGTTACCAATTACTAACTGATGCTGGTATCTGTCTAATGCACCCTTAGCTTTATCAATCAAGATCAGATGATCCGTTTCTAATTTGAACGAAACAATCATTGCAGATGGTGCCCAGTTGTCTACCAATCTTCTCAAGAATTTAGGTACTTGTTCCAAGTCGATGATCAATTTACCTGCAGCTTGAGATTGTATTTTATGATGAGGCATTCTTGATTGTGGTAAAAAAAAATCGGAGACAGCTGCTGCTAAATAAAATAATGCTTTGTTTTCAATTTTTTGTAACAAAATAGCCATTAATTTCAAGGTGTATAAGTATTGATTCACATTAGTAAATGGTAACAATAATAACGATTGAGATTCTTTGGCTTCTTTGTACTTTCTTAACACAACCAACATTTCATCTGCAAAGTCTGGGTTGATTTCCACCTTATTATTAACTTCCGTCATATAATCCAAAAAACAATTAGTTGTATGACTGTAATGTCTTGAATATGGCAAAAGAGAAAATTCTCTATGTAAAAAAATAACAGCATACCCATTCTCTAAGAAGTACTCTGCCGATGTTGCTCCTCTAGTACCAGCACTGAAATTATCGATAAATCTAACGGTATTATTCTCTAATGGAACAGTGGTACCACCAGATGTTACTAATACGATACGTTTTCCGGTATTAGAAGCATGATATTCAATAAAATCATTCACTTGTTGCTCGATCTCAGGTAAATATGGGGGAGCTTTGTGAGTTCTGAAATATTTATCTTCATCAGATAACTGTGCAATTGGCAAATCTGGAATAGTTCTGTCAATTGCAGTTTCTGCAACTGGATTCGACGTATGATATGTCTTCTGTTGTGGTGATCTTGGTGTCATTTTCGTGAATGATAATCTTCAACTATGGAAACTCGAATAAGTGACATTAAATTTTGATGCATCACGAAAATCGTACTAAACCAATTACATCAAGCTAATTCGTAAATCCCATCAACCGTTTTTTACAATGAACCCAGTAGTATTCTTAGATGTATGTACTTCTTTCATACGATAAGTGCTTGTACTTAATACTAACAATTCAAATTAGGTGAATAAAGGAGGTATGTGCTCTTTTTACTTGCTATGACTACCAAAATCTAATAATCTAGCTGAATTAATTACTAACAGATATCAACAGATGCTTCATTAGGTAGGATAAAGATCGAGCTATTTGCAAATGAATTGCCAAAGTATGTATGTTTCATAATATGTGGCTGAATAATTCAAACTAACAATGATTCAAGAACTTGTGAAAATTTCAGACAATTTTGCACCGGAGAATACAGAGAGAATAGTCGCCCAAGAGGTTACAAAGGGAGTACATTTCATAGAGTGATAAAAGGCTTCATGATTCAAGGTGGAGATTTTGTTCGTGGAAATGGCTTGGGAAGCATATCCATATATGGAGGTAATACATTTGATGATGAAGGATTTCCTTATGACCGTAAGTTTTTTAACTACATAATGTATTGCTGATTAAATATGCGTACTAACTGATTCTTTAGACAAGAAATATAGTGTTTCCATGGCCAATGCTGGACCTAATTCTAATGGGTGTCAATTTTTCATTTGCTGCAAAGAGGCCTCACATCTAGATGGTAAACATGTTGTGTTTGGAGAAGTCATAGAAGGGTTTGATATTGTGAATCAAATAGAGCAGACTAAAGTAGGGGTACTTGATAAGCCATACCCGGATATTAAGATAATCAATTGTGGAGAGATGTAAATGAACAATCACAATAAAGTACAATTACCACCAGGTTCTTCATCCAAAATCAACATGTGTACATTAGCATAACCTGAGATAGTCATATATATAATATTATCTTAACTTTCTAATTAATGTAATAATTTGAAGCAGTATCGTAGTACATCCAGTTCATTTCTTTATATGTGCGCCTAATCTGACCATAATTTATCGGACCAGATGTCTTGCGATTTGAAAAAACTCAGTGTGTGCTATCTCTCTGATACAATAGATATATAGACTATCAAGATGTCAGCAGACTTCTGGAACTCGTCACAACGTAATAGATGGCAACTTACCAGACATTCTTTGTTGGAATCAAGGCGAAAGCTTCTCTTGCTTGAGAAGAAGATGATTCAAAATGGATTTATCAAGGATTACCCAAATGTCGAATATGATGCTAATACAAGAATATATTTGCATAACCGTATGTATTTTCTTGAATTGAATTGATAATGAATGATGTTACTAACTATAATAAAGTTCTAGTCAAATTAGGCAGAAGGCTCAATGTCAGGCAAATAGCATTAGCTACAGCAGAAGTATACATGAGCAGGTTCCTCATCAAAGTGCTGTTGAAAGAAATAAATGTATACTTGCTTGTGACTACGTGCCTATACGCTGCTTGCAAAATTGAAGAATGTCCCCAACATATACGGCTTATCACGTCAGAAGCAAGGAATCTTTGGCCTGAATACATCCCGCAGGATATAACCAAGCTAGCCGAGTTTGAGTTCTACTTGATCGAGGAGATGGACCTGTACTTGATTCTTCACCATCCATATCGTTCATTGCTACAGATCAGAGACTATTTGAGTGAAAGCTATGCTGTCTACGGATTTTCCTTGTCGGACGACGAATTACAGAATTCGTGGTCCCTCATAAACGACAGCTACATCACAGACCTACACCTCCTTCTACCGCCACATATAATAGCCATTGCTACCATATACATAACTATAGTGCTCAAGAAAAATATCAGCTCATTGCGTCTTGGTGCAAACTCCATGTCTAACGACACAGTTAGCATGGACCCCCAATCAAAACCCAACCCCAGCCCTATCCATGCCGAAGACCTTATGGCCTTGGCCACCTCTGGTGCCACCATGAATGACATCGCTAACCCATCCGACTCCAACGGCTTCCACGATATAGAACTCGACGAAAATACAATCAAAATCAACAAGTTCATGTCCTTTTTAGATCATTCCCACATCAATTTGAACGAAGTCGTCGAAGCTATACAAGATATCATCAATTTGTATGCCATTTGGAACCGGTACAACGAAATTTCTGTTAAAAAGATCCTACAAGACATGCTATTAAATAGATCTACATAATCCCGTGAATTGTCTGTTTTTGACTATAAGTATCAACACCTTTTACTTCTCTACATTACAAATGCATATTCCCTTCCTCGCACCTGTCTTTATCATCTCTATTGGTCATAATTCGACCTCATATACACTACAATAGCTGATTACAATTGAAACTTCTTACAAGCAGTTTCAACAAAATTCACGTGATACATTTAAAATATACGTGTTGAATTTTTTTTATTCAATATAGGTTGAAAAGTTGGTTCTTATAGATATTGGCCTAAAAGAGTTGACTCAAGAACATATTTCGACAAGTATAGACATTCACAGTTGTTAGAATAGAAATAAAGACTTGATCCATTGCTAAGTATTGCCAGGAAATAATTTAGCATGTCTTCTTCGTCTCAACTAAAGCCTGTTGACACATCACCAGGTACCAATGAAAAATACCATAACTCATATCTAGCCATGGTTGAAAGAAATCAAATACCGTTGTCACGAGCGCTTTTATGTGGCATTCATTTATTCAACTATATCTTTCCAGGAGGGTTTGCATCAAAATTTATTCGCTTACAGTACAGAACAGGCACATCATACAGCGGAAGAGCATTGTATGATATTGGGATCGACGATGGATATTATGTTATACACTGGGTTATATTGCTAACATTTCTCAGATCATTCCTCATGCAGTGGTGCTTTGAACCATTTGCCTCATACTTCTGTGACATTCACTCCAGAAAGGCTAAGGTGAGATTTTCTGAACAAAGTTGGTCGTTTGTATACTATTCATTTTCATTCATATATGGTGCTTACTTATATTACTACTCGCCGTACTGGCTCAACTTCGATCATATTTACGAAAACTGGCCACATTACCAATTAGAGTCGTTGTTCAAGAAATATTACCTCATTTCTATGGCATTCTGGTTGCAGCAGATTTTTGTGTTGAATATTGAGGAGAGAAGAAAGGACCATTTCCAAATGTTCAGTCACCATATAATTACCTGTTTGTTGATTATTGGATCATATTACTATTATTATAATAGAATAGGTCATTTAATCTTAATGATTATGGATTCAGTTGACATATTCTTAGCAGCTGCCAAACTTTTGAAATACTCTGGTTACAACAATGCGTGCGATTTTATGTTTGTTTTATTCATGATATCGTGGGTGATATTAAGACATGGTTTATACAATTACTTGTTCTATCAGAGTTGGCATAAAGCATCGACTTTAATGAGCAATTCGGAATGCATACCTGGTCTATTTCAAAAGAGATGTTGGACTCCAACAATTCTTAATAGTTTCTTTTGTTTGTTGGGAGGCTTACAGCTAATCACTTTGGTTTGGATGTATTTAATTTCGAAGGTCGCCTACAAAGTCATACTGGGAAAAGGAGCTGAAGATGTTAGAAGTGATGAAGATGATCTGGATTACGAAGAAGATTCCGAAATAAAATCTAGTGCACATCATTCTTCTGAAAAGAAAAGGGATTATCCTGATATTGGAAGCGACATTAATATAAAATAAAATTCTCGTGTGTTGAATTTGCTACATACCAAATAAAATATGCTTTTGTATAATAGAGATACTTGCAATAAGTATTGGAATAAAGATTTTTATTTAAAAATTATCTTCAGTTGCACTTAATGCTATTTAATTTCATGGAAAATATAATATTTTGATATATATATATATATATATAGGTATCTATTATAATTAATTATGAACCTTAATAGCTACCCATGAATAATGTAGTGTATAAACATAAAAACATAACCCCAAATCCCCAAATCACAAGAGCAAGCGAACACGATTTCAATAATAAGTCAGTCTTCGATGGATAATCTACTTCAGAACCAATTAATTTGTAACCAAATAGACCGGGCAATATAAACGAGATAGCTGTAGACCCTGTTGCCCCAATAATTGCTAAAACCAATGCAAATGATTTAATCGTGATAGCTAAAGTGTACCCTATAATCAATAAGATTGTAGTTATGATCAAAAATACATTGTGTGTAAACGGAACAACAGTAGTCTTTCTGGATAAATCCTCCAGTACAGATCCAGTCTCATGAATTTCCTGTGATGCATCATCTAACAATGACGTTGTCTCATCCTCAGAACTTGCATTTTCTTTCATTTCCGTAATTTTGGAATAGATTGTATGATAGATATTATTTACTGAAATTCTTGCTGGGTGGAACATTAATGGAAACGAAAATACTACCATGAAAACGATGCAGAGGCGGCCCAATGTGGTGGTCCATGAATTAGGATACAGCAAGATGACATTTCCATTAACTTTATCCCCGAAGGTAGAATAACCAGCTAAACCAACTACAATAAACAAAACAGATGACGCAATAATAGCAATATTAATAAGCTCAGTAATGCTTTTCAAGGACTTATCCTTGGCTTCATTGATGATTGAAAACATGTTTTGATGACCTGTGAAGGCGAACACGGCAATCGAGAAAGTACTGAACACTCCTAATATATTTGGAGGAAACAATCTGATTTCCCCTTTGGAACTATCTGGAATATCATCAATTAAAAAATGAGCCACCACCAATAATGCCATGTAGAAAATTGCTATCAACCCCAACACAGATGTATATTGAAGAGATGATAAATTCTTCATGAATGACAATGGGACACATATTACTGTCGAAGCAAGAATCCAAAACGTTCTATAATGTTCTTCTGAAATAAAACTAAGGCTGGTAATAATCGTGGGCATTAAGTCCCCAATTAATACCAAATATGAAAGGGCACATCCAAAGCACTGGACTGCGATCGCAATGTCGAATACAACCGATAAAGAGGGATATGTGATGGAGCAAATGTTGAAGAAAGTTGCATGACCCAAAGGAGCATATTGTGAAACATATCCCTGAAGGAAGAGTCCATATCCCGATGTAAGAGCAGCTAGCAATATAATCACCGTACCAAGGATGCTTCCATCAGTAGAATAACTGTACGGAATTGAAAGGAGGCCTGCACCAATAATTGTTTTCAGTAAATTGATTGCGGACGATACCATGGACGACCCATGGTGTAAATCTACTGTGGGCATGGTATGCTTATAACTAAGGTTTAATGAATTGAATCCTTTAGAGGAAGAAGATCTATTGCTAAATGGCATTCTGTACAGAAAGCCCATTAGAGAATTACGCGCATAGAATTTGTTTTGATTGATTTGATCCAATATAAAAACAATACACAATTTCTTTAACGCCTTAACCAAAGTCGATCAGAACTAGTATTAAGAAGAAATAAACTATACAGTCGGGAAATACGTGTGTTCTGATACCAAAATTGTTGCAACTTCATTCACGAAAAAATTGAAATTGATTCAGAGATGAATGCAACTGGTACTGTGGCTTCATCGTCTGGATTGAATAGTTCAAGAGAATCGTCTATTACAGTGGCTGTTAGGGTTAGGCCGTTCACTCCTGGTGAAGAAAATAATCTCATAAAGTCAAATAATGAAGATTTTTTTCTTGGGGATGGATCATTGAGTGTCAACAATGCTTCTGATACCCCATCAAAAAAGTCAAACTTGATGCCTAGAGGCATTCGAAAAATTATAAATGTTGTGGATGATAGAATGTTGATATTTGATCCGCCCGAGACCAACCCGTTAATACAGATGCAAAAAAATGCCTTCCCTAATACAAAGGTCACTTCTAGGATACGAGAACATCGGTTTGTGTTTGACAAGTTATTTGACGTACAAGCGACGCAAGAGGACGTATATAACAACACCACCAGACCATTATTGGATAGTGTTTTGGATGGTTTCAATGCGACTGTCTTTGCATATGGTGCAACAGGTTGTGGTAAGACGCATACAATTCTGGGTACACCTCTTGATCCGGGAGTAATATTTTTGACTATGAAGCAATTATACGAGAAAATCGAAGGATTAACTGATACTAAGATCTTTGACGTCAGCATGTCCTTCTTAGAAATCTATAATGAAACTATACGAGATTTGCTTAATCCAGAAACTCACTTCAAGCGACTAGTTTTAAGAGAGGATGCAAATAAGAAAATATCTGTTTCAAATTTGCTGTCACATAAGCCAAAGTCCGTTGAAGAAGTTATGGATTTAATACTTATTGGTAACCAAAATAGGACTTGCTCACCTACAGAAGCCAATGCTACGTCGTCAAGGTCGCATGCAGTGCTTCAGATTAATGTAGTTCAAAAGAATAGAACTGCGGATATAAGTGAAGAGCATACTTATGCTACATTATCAATCATTGATTTAGCTGGAAGTGAAAGAGCGGCTGCCACTAAGAATCGAGGAGCGAGATTGAATGAAGGTGCAAACATCAATAAATCCTTGTTAGCATTGGGTAACTGCATAAATGCATTATGTGATCCAAGAAGAAGAAATCATGTTCCCTATAGAGACTCTAAACTCACTAGATTGCTCAAATTTTCATTAGGCGGTAATTGCAAGACAGTGATGATTGTCTGTGTGTCACCCCTGTCCCAACATTATGATGAAACATTAAATACATTGAAATATGCAGATAGAGCGAAAGAAATTAAAACAAAACTTATAAGAAATCAGCACAACCTTGATAGGCATGTTGGCTCTTACTTAAAAATGATTACTCAACAAAAGCAAGAAATAGAAGATTTAAGAGCTAGAGAGTTGAAAGTAGTTGAACTGACTATTGCAAAGCAAAATTTATTGAGCCAAAAGTGTCTTAATGTTACCATGGATAATATATCTAATTTAAAAGTATCTTTGGCCAAACAGCATCAGGAGAAATGGAAGAAGTATTTCTTTTTAGCTAAGAGAAAGCTACTTTTACTTCAAAAACTTGAAATAGAATCGTTGACGAAATATCTCCACAAATTGACCAAGAGTGGAAATATTCATGGCATAAATAACATTATGAGTTTATCAGAGCAATTGATTTCCAAAATAACTACTGGCATATCAGATTTAGAGACCCAATATTCTAGACCAAATGAAATCGATTATATTTTTAATGAATCCACACTGCAAATGTTAAAGAAACTAAGAGAACAAGAAGGATGGTCGGATAATAATACTGTCGTATTTGATTCTCTAGTCGCATGTTTGAAAGATTCACTAGAAAGAGAAATACTATTTAATTCGTCTATTTTGTTCGACCATCTTGTTCACGAAATACGAGGTTTCGATTTCTTTCCGAGAAGCTTCACGGATATGTTGGCTGCCTACACTAACTCTGATAAGGAGAATCTTAATGAGTATACGACAGCCAGTTTGAAAACTGCAATAGATGGCCTTGCTAAGGCCTTAGAACAAATTCTAGAAGGCGAATATGATGCTGCCATTGAAAACACCACATCATCATTTATGCAAAGAAAATTGAAAGAACAAGAAATACTAACAAACAATACCAATAATCATGTTATTAATACATCCATAAACTTGCCGAAACCTAGAGATTGCAAGCGGGGATCTAATTCACCATTGAAATCCTCTCCTCCGAGAGATTTCAAGAAATCTATAACCAGGAAGAATTCTTCGAGTATTTCGGCGGCCATGCTACAGAAACTGGGTAAAAAAGTTCGTTGGGACGTTCCTAATCAAGATTCTACATTGGCTGAGAGTGATATTAGCATAGATGAACAAAATACCATACTCAAGAGTGATTGTGAAGATGATTCACCTATAGGAAATAATGTTATTGATAAGACTAATATGATCGATGATTTGGATCTACAATTCGACCCAACGCTCGATTCACCGCCTTTGGCTCAACTACTTAAAGACAACATGAATCGAAGCCTAATGGCAGACTTAAGTAAGAGTAGAAACAAGCATCGGAAGTTTCAGCCCCTAACCAATCGTAAATTATCAACAAATGAAAATAATGAACCATTAACCAAGCTTCCATTATTAAATAAACAGGCAAGCACCAAGATAACGAACTCGACGCAAGCATCTACGCCAAAAGAGATTACCGAATCGACCCCAACGTATCTTCCTGTAACTCAAACGAACACTAAGATAAAAATGAACTCGTTAGGGGCCCCATCTAGGGTAATCAATAGATATAACACATATGTGGAAGATGACGAGGATTCTAGAGATATAGAGAGCAATGGATCCGAGAAAGTCGAGTAGACCGTTTCCAATCCGTGCAATTCATATAGAATAAATGTATAATGAGTTATGATTACAATAAAACGATATTAAACAAAAGCAGACATATTATTTATTGATTCTGATTAAACTAAACTCAGAGAACGGTACGATTCATAAAAGCATTAAATAAATTACCATCTACCACCTTGGTTTCCACCACCATAGCCACCTTGACCACCACCGTAGCCACCTTGACCACCACCGTAACCACCTTGACCACCTGGACCACCTGGACCACCTGGACCACCGCCGAATCCACCTTCGTTTCTACCACCGAATCCACCTTCGTTTCTACCACCGTATCCACCTTCGTTTCTACCACCGTATCCACCTTCATTTCTACCACCGAATCCGCCTTCGTCTCTACCACCGAATCCGCCACCGAATCCACCTTCATGTCTTCCACCTTCGTGTCTTCCACCTTCGTGTCTTCCGCCACCGTAGCCACCTTGGTTACCACCGTATCCACCTTGGTTTCCACCGTATCCACCTTGGTTTCCACCATGCTTGTCTCCACCCAAGAAGTTACTCAATCCACCGACCAATCCACCTCCTTGGTGGTTTTGACCGTGTCCTTGATTTTGTGATCCGTGGCTTTCAAATGCGTTTTCAATTTTATTGGCTCCAATTGCTCCAGCAATGGCACCACCAATACCACCTAAAGTGGAGTGGTTTCCACCTAATTTAGATCCACCAAATGCTCCAAGAGAACCACCTGCAAGTGTAGAAATGAGACCTCTGTCACCATCTTCTCCTTGTTGACCTTGTTGTTGGCCTTGTTGTTGGTTATCACGGCTTGGTTCGTATGATCCTTGATCACCGGATGAATAAAAATCGTTTGCAGACATAATTATATTTTTTTAATGAAATTTATTTAAATCAACTGAATAAATAAAATTTTATTATAAAGAACAAATAATTAGCTTAATTGATTGAGAGGAATCTGTTCACATTTTATAGTCTCCTCGTTGTGTTTATACGATTGTTCTTTCACCTATGATGAATGCATCATTACGTAACTCAATTAATTTCAGTCACCGAGTCTTCAGCCACATTGGTCACAAATCACCGAAATAAGGGGCTCAAATCCAATTGTATACGTGTTCTAAAGAACAAGGTACATTGATGTGATGATCGATGCGTTTGCATAGCCAAAAATGGTAAGACATTGCCAGAACATGTATAGTGCACTGTTTGTATAGTATTGTTGTAGTATTTATAGTATTTACTGTAGTAATTGAAAATACTACTATTGTTTAGAGGATGTATTTGTGGTGGACGATTTTGTTCGAAATGCAATATCGCATGTAGTATTACATATATAAGCAAGTGATACCTATTAAATGGTTTATGTTTGTCGAATATGAGAGAAGAAATAATCTTGAATGGTAGTATTAACTTCCAGAGACGACAATGCATGATAATGCTTGTATAAAATTCACGAGCTGATGCCTCAGGGTGATTTTAGTGATTTTAGTTCGGTATTTGAGATTTATATCGTAGGACAGGGAAAATGGTACTTGGATATATGTTAGAAGATGGTAGCATAGTGAAAGTATAGAGTGAATAGATAGTGAATCGTAAATGTAAACTGGACAGCGAGTTATACAAGAGGGAAACTGCGATTACCCTATTTGGTGCATTTTTAGATCTAATGCTAGTGTTCATGTTAACTCAGCAAATTCATAACTCCACACGTACATCAGAAAGTATCACAGTACTTATTTGTTTCAAGAACCATTAAATTTCATTAGAACAGAATTTGCAATATAGACGTTAGTTTTGAGTGAAATTTGTTTCCATACCCACTGTATTGTCAGCTTGAATTTTGCAAGCGCTAGACGGAAATACCACGCCTTTGATGCCGTTTCCAGCGCTACAACTACTTCATTGAATGTGGCTTTCTCCTTATCGGTGGAGCTATATTGATGGGTAAGCTTATATATTCATTTCAATCTCTATTGCATATTTACTTGGATATGTACAGAAGAATTCATGGTGTTTTGCTGCATATGATACCAAAATTTCATACTTCACACACGTTTGTTCTTCAATTTGCATCTGCTACTGCCAATGCCGAATGAATCGTTATTCTTCAAGTCATTCGAAGCTGTTAGAGCGAAGCGTACTCTAGTTCTTTCACCCCTTCTAGTAGACTGCTCAAAGTGAATTGCCTATTCTCAAATCCAAATTATTAATAATTCCTGAGTCAATGATTTTTAATTAATAAAAGTTCTAGTGTCAATTAAATTATAAAAGAAACATCAGACAAGAGTTTGCAGTTGATACGTCACATTATATCAATAATACTACGGTTTCCGTTATTGTACATAAATATCTTTTATTAAATTTGCTTACTGTCAATTAACAGTTGGAAAAATTCACACACGGTATCCTTGAGGGGTCTGTACTTAAGCTGGAATTCTCCAATGGCCTTTGAATTGTCTGCCTTCCACTTATAATTGATATTATCGCAAACATACTTCCTCGTTAAGTTTTTATCGACCAACGGGCCGATCAACCAAATCAAAAATTTTGGAGCTGCACTTTTCGGGATTGGATAAGAATCGTATTCAGGTGATAATGCCTTCCCAATCTCTAAGAAGGAGGTGTTGTGGGCAGATATGATGTATCGACCATGGGCACTTTGTACAAATGCCGCCCTTAAGTGGGCCTCAGCCAAATCTCTCACGTCAACGATACCTACACCAATATCCGGTACACCCCACTTCATCTGACCATCTCCAAACGCTTTCATGATACTAAAACTTTCGGATGTGGCATTCGGGTTTAATCCTGGCCCAAAAACAAGACTGGGGTTGAGAACAACAAGATCCCACCTGTCTTGATTCTCGCTTACTTTCCATGCCTCTTTTTCTGCCAATGTTTTAGAATAAGAATAAGCATTATTAGTTAAGGACGAAGTTTGGTTCCAAACTGTCTCGTCTACAGTAGCATTTGGAAGCGAAAGGAGGTCTTTGTTATCTCCATAAATTGCAGCGCAACTGCTGGTCAATACAACCCTAGTCACTGATTCCGTCCTGTTTGCTGTATGCAACACATTTCTTGTTCCTAACTTAGCAGGATCAACAAGGTCTTTCTGAGGATCGGTAATTTTCGATGTAAACGGAGAAGCAGTGTGGAAGACCACCTTGCAGCCAGCCATTGCTTCCAGAAAAGATCCATCCTTCAACAAGTCGGCCTCAAAAAATTTCAAATCACCACCTTTACTACTTTTTAGCTTTTCAAGGTGAGCAAGTTTACTGTTGTTGGAAGTATCTCTAACAGCTGCATGCACAGTAACTCCCTCTTGTAACAATCTTTTGATAATCCATCCAGCGACATAACCTGTTGCACCAGTGACGAGAACTGGGCTCTTTTTATCAAGGGTACTAGTGAAATCAAGATTTAATTAGTTTTCTGATAATATGATAGCACTAAATGGAAAACAATTACTACCCTTTATGTACTCCACGCAAGTGTTCCAGTATTTCAGGTTCGGGTTTAACTATATTGTTCTATGTCCTGTTTAGGAATATATCCGGTATATCCGATATCTTCGATTGTCACCACCTAAGAATACTGTTGACTTCACCCATGATGAAAAGAAATATACTATTATTGATAAGAGTGAGTGAATCAAAAATGCAAAGTATCATCCTATCGTTTTCTATATTAGTACACAGAGATCATAGCCATAACATTTCAAGTAAATTTTATGCTTTTCTCACTCTATACATCTTTAATCGTATAAATATTTTGCTTTAGCCAAGTAAGTATTTTAGTTAATAATATGAAATGTATGTATCTTACTCAAAAGCAGATCGATGTTAATATTAGCAAGACCTGTAGAGCACCACATATTCATTGATTAGAAGTAACATCAAATAAATAAATAAAATAGCTCTTTCTACGTGCTTAATTTATTACCATTCGGTGTTAGTTATTAATGTATTATTATACTTAGTTTCTATGTTATTTAAACTTATATACTAAAATCATTAGCTGCTAGAACTCCTGTTATTGAATTATAAATATAACACTTGTTTGACAATTACTACAGTGGATCATCATAAATTGCTTTCAATTAAATATTAACTTATGTAATGCTGAGATAAAACAAACTTACATGATAATACAATCCTTCTCTTGGGCCCCGTTGGCAGATGGTGGGGTCTTTGATGAAACAGCTCTCTTCTTGGACTTCTTCTGGATTGAAGAAGCCAATTCCTTATTTGTAATTCTTGACAACGACTTTTCGTCCCCATTTTGCGCAGCTTTTTGATACCAGTGCTGCGATTCATTAACATTTTTGATACAGCCGATTCCTTTTTCATAGAAGTTAGCCAATGCAAACTGGGCTTTTGGTAAATCACACATGGCTGCCCTTTTGGCCCATTCGAATGCCTCGGTGTCGTCCTTAGGTAAATATGGGTCTGATCCAACAAGATACCATGCACACATTGCCAACATCGATTCTGGATCTCCGCCTAATGCGGCAGTGGTATAGTAGTGGATCGAGAGATTTGAATCTTGGGGAAGAATATCTCCAAACTCGTAGCATTGGCCTAGAATAGCGGCCGATTGGACATGGCCAAGTGCTGCAGCTTGTGCGTATAATTCTAATGCATATTTTTTATCAGCAATGACAATATCCTGGAACCCATTAAAATAAATTTTTCCCAACTCATAAGGTGCTGCTGCGATAAGCTCGTTGGCGACATTAGAAGCTCTAGTAAGCCATTTTATTCCAACCTTTTTAGTGTTCACATTTGATGATAATCCCATTCTTCCGTAGAAGGAGTACACCCCTAATTTGTACATAGCCGCCGGGTGATTCTTCGATGCTGCCATCTTCAAGTAGTCAATGGCTTTTCTCGCATCACGCCCCGTTCCCAAACCTTCCTCATAACAGTACGATGTTCTATAAGCTGATTCTACGTGGCCATGTTTGGCTGCGGACTGAAACAACACAAATGCTTCTCTGTTTTCAATTTTTCCTAATGCTCCCGAACTATAAGCATCAGCTAGTAAATATTGTGAGTCAACATACCCCTTATCAGACAATTTTTTTAAATAGAAAAGTGCTTCTTTCAACAATGCTCTTTTCAACTTCTTGTCGTTCAAGTTGATATCGGAATTGCTAAAATCAAGCGATGCGGCCGATTTTGATTTGTTGTGTGACTTTTTGAATATATCACTACCTAATGTTAATGATGAAGTATTGGCTTCTTTGTCCAATGGACCCTTTTTAGGTGAATTTTCAATCGAATGTCCTTGGGGAGTATTAGTAGTACTTAAACCAACATCAGTTGATTCTAACATGAGAGCAGTTTGTAACATATATTGAGCGTACTGGAATAACACACTTGGGTCATTGGACCTCTTAGCATTCTTTCTGTACAATTCAATGGTCTTGATTCTAGGCAATAAGTGGCTTGAATTATCACCGAGGTATTGTTGTATAATATTCTGACTAAAGTCAACCATACTGGCATTGTCAGAACGGTCGTGGAAAAACGACGAGGTCGATGATACAGACCTATTGTGGCCAAACTTAGCGAAATCAGGAGCCGAATTAACTAAATTAGTCTCCGATTTCGAGAAAATCTGACTATCCAATGCATTTTGGTTGAGGTTGAGATTCGTCACAGACGAAGTGGTGGATAGAGGGTTCGAGTTTGGAGACATAAGAGGTGGTTCTTTCTGGGCAAATACCGGTGGTGGCGTCAGCGACTCATACACCGGGTATGGGGCCTTAGTGCCCGCTGTTCCGTCCGTCTCGTTATTACCCCCAAGCACCCCCAAAGGCAATGGAGCCTCCATCTCTCTAACTGGTGTCTGATAGCCCGATCCTGGTGCCTGTACTAGAGATCCACTCGACTCGTGTCCAACGCTGTTGTTTCCGACCTCTTGTGGTGGTAATGACTCTCCATAATCTTCAACTGGATATGGCGCATTTGTCGAAACTGCCTTCTGGCGATAAGGATGATCACTCATGTCAATCTGCCTGTATTCTAGTTTCCTAACCTAAAATTGTCCTGTTTGATGCCAAATTAACCAAAAAACCCGCCAATCAATCCTTTCAAGTAGCAACTGTCGTAAAAATAGCTCTTGACTCTATATTACCAACAATTTCAATCTATAACGATCTATAGTTTCCAGAGTATCCTCTTACTACTTCAATACCACTATATATGGCTTAAATTACGTTTATGATCAACTATGATAATACCTGTTTCTTCTAGAATTTTTCCAAATCTTTTTTTACTAGTAATATTGAGAGGGCGTGGTCCGATCCAAAATTCGAATTTACGTCAATCGAATCGAAGCTCTGGGTCGGGCATAACTAACAGGTATAGTACGGTATGTGGGGCTACCATAAGTATAATCACGTCACAGTATGTATGAAATGAGGTGGAATGAAATGTGGAATTGTTTATTTACGTGAATTGAAATAGAAGTTTGTCTATGAATGTAGGTGCAGCGTGTTTTGGGAACGGGCTCAACACACAATTTGTTTTGTAGATATTGTCGATATGAACCACACCACTAACACAAAGTCTATTAGATATACATGAAAGCAGTATATACGTGAAGGGTATAATAATACGTGTATGTAACGTGCCAGGAGACATTTGAACCCAAAAAGATGTAAATTAGACATCGTACAAGGCTTAGGTCGATTGGAATAGGAAATCAGTCGTACATCTTATTAGGTGCGATTGAAAAAGTTGAAATAGGCTGCAATGAAGGCTGCCACCACTACACCAATAAGGGTGACACGTTGTAAGCCGAAGGATGATGGAGTCAGATGGTCGTCCTGCTCGACGAGTAGTCTGGCTCTGTCCTCGGGGTCCAACATGTCGATATTTTCCCGGACATCAAAGAGCTTATCTGGGTCTGTGGCGTTGGTGGAGGCTGCGGCCTGCTCGCGAGCATTTCTGTCCGCTATATCAAGTTTATTCTGGGCCACCAAGTCTGGAAATTGTTTCGTAAACCGCTGATTCTCGGCATTATTCCACTCTTTACTCGAGCGAGCAAGTCTTTTCTTGACATTGTCGCTGGTAGTGATCGATCCGGTGGTGGATTCGTCGCCGGTCATGAAACTGAGGAGCCCAGTCAAGATCGTGGCCACACTCCACGCTGGATTCCAGGTGTCAGGATGGTAATCGCTCATCGAGAGACACAAACGTGTGTTGCATGCAAATCTCCCGTTAGGAGTGATCATCGAGATGGAGGGTGGTTTGAACGGGTATTCTGATGGAAACCGCAAGATTCCGTGGTATTGGCCCTCTTCAAAAGGCGTGTGAGGTGGCCCCGTTATCACGTAATGCCATTCCAATATATTTTCGTCGTTCGGCTTGGCACTCACGTATGGGGGTGGATTAAGTGTGATAGCCTTATATTCCTTTGTAAGTCTTTTCTGTGATTGTCTAGACGCCATCGTTTCCGTAATGTGATATAACCTTTATGTCTATTTGAATAGAGAAATGAAAAAATGTGCAATAAATTAATAAATATCCGAGTTCCCTGTCAAAGCTAACTTGATCGTAACTGTTTTTAACTAGATATTCAATGTATAACCAAGGATAATCGTACTCTATCGGAAAAAGCCCAAATGATAATAGATAAAAATCCAACAATTACACATCGATGCGTATCGGTTCTACAAAGTTGAGGCGCACACGAGCGGTCTTATTACTTCTATAAAAACATGAATAATCGATCCATAGAAGGAGTTTTAACTCTTACGGTTAATGGGTCCACTCCAGATGGGCTGTATTTATTTACAAAACTGGTACTGTGATCGTTAAACGGTGGGAAAATGATCTTCGTGAATAAAAATGGTTTTTGCAATCATTATCGGAAAGCTCATTATCATAGTGAATCTACTTTTTTTGACCAATAGCCAAGATCAAACTGGTCTCAACTAAGTATACTGTAGTTCCGTTGGAGATTTTGGATCTGAGTTGGTTATCTTTCAACTTTTTATTGATTTCCTCCGGTAAGTGGTGCTCGATAAAGGCTTGTTCCTGCCACAAGTACACCCTGGCTTCTCTAGCACTCGAAACATTTGTGAGGTTGGAATACTCACCCAATGTTCTGTTGAGCGCATCTACTTTCAAGCCACCCATGTGTCTGACAGCATGGGAAGCACTTTTGGTGCTAGAAGATGTCTCAACATCTTCATTGTAGAAGTCGACAATGTACAACCACCCACCAGGTCTGAGAAACGAGGCCAACTTCTGGGTCACTTTCTCGTAGTTATCTATATGATGGTATGAGATTGTGCATACAATTAGATCCATGGAATCTTCAAACTGAGAGACTACTTCTTTGGCCGTGGGGTCCAAGATATCGCACAAGTATGATGTCATCGCGACCCCATTGTATTTGGCATTGATTTGGTTGGCCTTTTCTTTGAATTTGGCCAAAAAGGCTGGATTAATGTCGATACCAACTATTTCGGACTTCTGACCCGAATCCGTGGCCAAATACCGAGCAAAGTGCTGTGTGAGTATTCCTGTGCCACACGCAAAATCCATAAGCTTCATCCCTGGTTTGAAAGCACTATTGGGAAATTGGGTTTTAAATGTGTGTGGATCTGGTAATGATTTATCAGGCGAAACCCCATTGTATAGTTTTTCTGGGTCTCCAATTATTTTACTTGACTCTTCAAGAGTCTTTCGTGGACGGGTCATATCGAATTCTAATAAGGATTTGGCGAAAAATATACTCAAAAAGTGTATTGCTTCGCGATTGTCGTATTCATCTGCCATCTTCGAGTCAAAAACCTTGATATTGGCTTCAATTGCAAGTTTATGTTGGTCTTCTGTCATGTTAATTGTATTATGGTGCAAGGAAGTGACAGAATTATGTCCTGATTCTATGAGATTTATATCAATCTGTTTTTGTGTCACTATCAGAATCAATGCACAACGATGGGTTCCATTCTACTAATAAAAGACATGCTTACTATAGACATTGGCTTAAAGCCAGTATAATGAGGATTTTTTTAATAATCTAAGAATATCCACCTAAAATTACTAACTGTGGGGAAATTTATGAAGCTTGAAGAATAGCCCATCCACCACTCCCTTAACTTCCTTAGGTTTCTACCCCACATAAGATCATCATCGAAGCATTATAATAGCCAAAGTCATCCGCCAGATAACTCTCAAAGTTCTCACAAAACTCTTGTACTGGATCGAGTTCAATATCTTATTCTGCCCTTTCAGCATCTAATTTTATCGTATTTTATTATGTTATTCTATTCAAGTTGTGTCGATATATGATTGTTCTTCTAAAGACGTTGATATTGCCTGTATATTTTTTATTAGAAGTAACATGATATAAAATCCATGCTTAGGTTGGATGATTGGGAGAGTATTCTAAAAGTTACATTATCCCAATTTATTAATGATGGTTATGTTGGTGGTAAGGTGACAATTATACCCAATGATTATTCATTCGAAGTTTAGCTTTAGAACCAAAGGTTTTAGAAGAGGAGTTTATCCATATGAGAGAAATGAAACTAAGGGAGACAATTTTAAATGAAATTTAGTCCAATTGGTCAGATCCATATTTTTACTTCTTTCCCCTAGATATAGAAGTCAGTAAGCTGCCAATTTCGCTTAATTTAATGCATCATCTTACAGGCAATATGTCTTGAGTAAGGCTAATATTTCATATTAACCTTATAGTATATAATATATATTCATAGCATTTTAAGAATGTGTACAGGGACATGTGAATATCTACAACTAAATCTGGGCGGTTTATTAATATAAATAAAGTCTTGTTATATTTGGTAATAGACAAAGAAATTGTTTTTGGAAAAATAAGGGATACTTCGATTATGAAGTAAGAATAGAATGGTGCATATTTCACCAACACCAAATTAGGATATATAGGAGTTGCAGATATTGTCTCGTTGCTAGTTGTTTTAAGTGCATTCCGTAATCACTAAAATACTTGTTCACAGCATTCCTTGTTGGAACAATTACGTAACGAGTGATTAGATCGCGTACTATGGTTAAACCATTTGTACCTTAAGTGTATGTTGCAAATAATCATATTAGCCTAATCATATAGAAGAAGCACATTTATACTAAAGATGTTTATTAAAAGTTTGTATTAATAAGTGTAATACAGATTGAGATCTGTGCATCGTATTTGAATTAGGATGTCAATTTTGAAAACTCATATTCACAGCAGTATTGGATTATACCATGAATACTAATCTAAGTAGAAAGGAAAAAGTACAAGAAAGATAATCAGGATAAGGATAAAAATAAATTCCAATGAATATTCGTCTAAACCATAAAGTTTAAGATTCTAAAGAGAAGTAAATTAGTGGCAGCATAATTTAGACCAAAATCCTTTAGTCTCTTCATTATCATCAACCATTTGTTGCTGGTCGTATTGGTTTTGTCTGTTTGCCGCAGTGTTCTCGTAATTCTTAGATTGAGGTGCCTTAAGTGCAGATTCGTCCATAGCATTTGCATTCATGCCTGTTTGTGATTCTTGTTTAATTGGTGGTAATGGTCTGTTAACTAAATGTTGTAACTTTTGTTGATGTAATTGAGCTGTAGACAATTGTTGGGTTGAAGGAGGTTGTGCTTGTTGTGATGCTGGCGCTTGTGCGTGATGAGAAGCATGATGTTGTCTACTTCTTCTTTGGTCACGATGACGTCTGTCTCTCTCATTTGGTGGGTTTGGATGACCATAACCATGTAAGTTTGGTTTCTTATTAATGGAAGCATCCCATCCTTTACCGCCGTTAAGATGCAACCAATCATAGTCTCCATCACATGCTTGTCCCAAGTCGTCTAATATAGATAAGAATAACATTCTGTATTCTTCATACGCAGGCTCTGCATCGAAGGCTAAACTACGCACCGAGTCTAAATATTCGGCAAATTGTCTAGGCAAGCCGTCACATAACTGGAGCGCTGGAGTAGTACGCTTTTTGTCACCAATCTTTTCGTACTTTTGCTTGTTGGTTGGTGCCTTTAACCCCTGCCATGGTAATTGACCTCTTAAGAAATAGAAGAATACGTGGCCCAACGCTTCTAAATCATCTCTTCTCAGTTGTTCTCTACCAAGATGAGTGTTAATCGACATGTAACGAGCAGTCCCACTTAAGGATTTCTTTTCTCTATAAGGAATATGTTGTTTTGTTCTAGGGTCTCTATATTGCTTGGCCATTCCAAAATCAACTAAGTGGACGTGGTTCTCATCGGCCAAGCCCTGGCGTCCAATCAAAAAGTTGTCTGGTTTAATATCTCTGTAAATAAGGTCATGACGATGGACTTCCTCGATTAAACTCAACATCTGGATCGCAATCTGGGCCACAGTCTTGACCGAGAATCTTCTGCCACACCAGTCAAACAAGTCCTCCAATGAGGGCCCTAACAAGTCAATAACCAAAATATTATGCAAACCTTCTTGACCAAAATAGTAAGCACTAGGAATACCTTCGCTCCCTTGCAAGTGCTTATAAGTGCGATACTCGTCTCTCAATTGGGGGGCTTCGGTTTTTCTGGGTTCAAACTTGATAGCCACTGGCACCCCGTTTATTATATTCGTACCTTCAAATATAACTCCAAACGACCCCTCCCCAATCTTCTTTCCTATCTTGTAGTGTAACCCAACCACAGAGTTGTTACTAGAGCTCGAGCTAGAAGGGTTATGTGACGCAGCAGCCGCCGCTAACGCCGCTGGATTCGACAATTGTGCACGGTTAGACATATTCTATTCTTTCCAACACAATTTTTTGATCCGTTATACGAAATTCTCAATGATCTGGAAGAATATCAATTCAAAGACTTTTCGAGCCAAATTATCTAGTATAATAGTTGATTAACGTTTGAATCTATTGCAAATGCTATATGATTCTCTATAATACAATCTAAAATAACCGACCCTCTATTTCTTGATGGATTCAATTCGAATCAACAACTTATGCAATAAAAACAAAGGGTATGACAAGAAACGAATAATTTAACTTGATGAAAAAATTTTCTCAATTATATATTCTTTACCTCTTGAATCAAGTGATCTTGTCAAGAAACTCTAATATACCTTATTATATTGCTATATAATTCGATTGTGTAGATCAAAGGAATAGAATTGTTTTTTGCTGTTCATAAACCTCCAAAACACAAATGAGACAATTTTTCGCTGACCTTACACAAAACCCGGAAATAGAAATGTTCCTTTCTTTTGGAAAATTTTTCTACACTATAAGAACTTAAGGTGGATAGGCCTCTGATTTGGTGTGTTATTGGATTGATGTAGTCATTTGAAAGAATTTCCTCTTTCCACCTGACGCGAGAATTTTTAGTAGATGTAGAGTTTGTGTTTATTTGCAAGGTGGATACTAAGACGGAAATGGCGGGCGCCCGGAGTATGCCAATGGATGCAAAATATCGGGATATGTTGTAAATAACATAATGGGTCACAGTGAGATGGCTGAAGGATAATAGACAAAGAATAATACACTTATGTTTTGGCGTGTGATTGGTGTCGGCCAAGTAAAAAGTTATTGTAAAATGAATAGTACGGTGTGTAGATCGGAAATTACGAAATTTTGCAGATTATGTTGAAATTAAGAAAAGTACTTCAATAGGTATTGTAAACGTATTAGATGAATGGTGTAAGGGATACTACAAAGATCATGATATAACCATTGGTATTAAAGCTAACTATACAATATAGAAAATGATGTAGTCGGGAAAGTAAAGATGTCCGAAGAACTGAGGGTTTTGTTTGGTACTATATTTTACCTCTGACTAAATAAATGAGATCAGCATTTCTAAATGCTTTCAAACATCTATCGGAGGTCTCCAATAAGACCGGCAGTTCGTCGTCGCTGACTTTGCAAATGCAGAGTCTCTCATCAGACTCACGGGTACGGTTGTTGATATTGACTATGCTTAAATTATCCGCTATAGAGTCCAAAGCTCTACCCACGGACCATTGCTTGGAGACCCACACGGCCCTTTTTTCCTTATGCACATCGATATTGGAAAATATGTCTTCTTCGGCATTATCAGATACTTGTTTGGGGTTGATGTAAAGACACCAGAGGTATATTTTGTCGGTATCACTTACCTTGGTATCCCCTTTGGCTTCCCTACGAAGTATGGCCATATCTGCTACTTTAGTACGGGCTGATGGCACACTCTTTTTCTTGAAAAGCCCCATTACCTTATCATCGGTACTTTTCTTATTCTTTTGAAGCCTCAAGAATTTGGCAAATTTGGCAATCACATTTCCTTGGGCTCCATTACGGCCTAGTATATTTGTTGCCTTGGGCGTAGCGTTATTTATCGAGTTCTCTAGTTTTATTTTATCCTTTTCTCTATCTGGAAATAAAGATGCAGCTGTAGCATCGTATTGTTGACTGGATCTAGTCTTTTCTTGTGGTTTTACTGGACATTGATGGGAGTCCAAGCTTCGATGATTTGAACAGTATGTAAACTTACAATACTCACAATGAAATGGTAGAAAATCAACTTGTTGACATTTATGACATTGTTTACCTATGTTCATTATACCTTGATCAGGATGAACTTTTGTCTCATTGACAAATAGATTTTTATTAACACCAGCTTGTGACATGTCTATTCACTTGTATCATATAATAGTTGACTGGAATCTAGCAATATGTCCTATTTTATACCTTTGGAACCCAGTGGCGGTGGCAAGGCTTTTTTGGTGCTTTAGCTGGAACAGAGAAATCGGATTTCTCAGCTGCACAAAAATTGAAGCGATATGAAAAATTGATATATGAAGCTGATAAATAAACTAACCAGACCAAATAATGCTATTTGATTTGAATGTGCCGTGGCCTAGTAATAGCTACGCCACTAAGCCAACGCCCCAGCAAATTACAACTCTCCTTAATACCATCACTACCTTATGTACCTTGGGTTATACGCACATCGCTATAAATTTTACATTAAGTGAAAATGTTAGATTCCCTAATAACCAACAGGAAATGAACCCAATCCAAATAAAAATGATAAAAGAACATTTTAAGGACTCGTTTCCAAAACTTAAATTGTTCACACGATTGACAATAGTGATCAACGACCCGTCACAATGTCAAGGACTTTCGAAAGTACAGAATTCGTTTGACTTAATAGCAGTACAACCAACAAGTGAAAAAGGATTACAATTGGCAACAACAAATCTCGATATTGATTTGATTTCTTTCAATATGGCTAGCAAATTGCCGTTTTTTTTGAAACATAAGACAATTGGAAGTGCGTTAGAGAAGGGTATAAAATTTGAAATTTGCTATTCACCTATGATCTCAGGACCAGCAGGATACTCGATTCAAACAGCAAATGACAATATGAGTTTATCTAAAACAGCCATGTTGGTGAGAAAGTACTTTTTCAGCAATGTTTTGCAATTAATCCGAGCATCTAGATCAAAAGGTTTGATTGTTTCCAGTGGTGCAACACAGGCATTGCAAGTACGTAATCTGTCCGATATATTAATCTTATTAAAGACTGTTGGTTTGGATAATAGTAGGGCGAAGAGCTGTGTTACTGATAATCCAGAAAAAGTTTTGGTCAACGGAAGATTGAAGATCAAATCGTATAAGCAAACTATTGCAGTTGACAATGATAATAGCAAGGGTGATGTTTTGTATAATAACGATAAGGAAGATGGTGCTAAGAAAACAGATAGCGCTGGATACAAGAAGAAGTTGAGCGATAGCTCTGGCGGTAGTTTGCTAAAGAAACAAAGGATCAAATAAGCGGTTTATGGCCCTCAGAAGGTATTACCTAAACATTGTACAGTATGATATAGATCCCGAAGTAATATTATAAATAAATATATTAAAAAGCTATGTAATTAATTGGCTTGCTAATTAAATATCGATGACTTGATCAAGGTGATCTTTTTATCCAGCGTATGCGAACTCGAGTCGTTAGATGGGGCCGGCCCCTTCATTTGCGCTCTTGGTACCCTCATTGGTCTCTTATTTCTACTTCCTGTAAGAAAAATAGATGGCTCAGGCTTCCGCTTCCTTATTGCCTCTGAAACTGCCCGCGGCAGAGGTGATGATGACGAAACTGATGTAGGTGGACTATGAGGTTCTGGCAATGATGTATGTAGTGGTGGCGATGCAGACTTGGGGCTAGATGAAAATGAGCTAGCTCCCAGATTTAATTTAGGCACCGTTCCGTTTGGCCTAGGTGGATTGGTGCTATACTGAATAGGCTGTCCATTGAATACAACTGGACCACCCATTGGTGATGAATTATCGCCCCGATCATGATTAAACCTTGGTGCATATTTTGGTACAACTGGGTGAGCTGGTTGCTTTGTTGATCGAGGGCTTTGAGGAAGTCTTGGCTGCTGTCTTGGTTGATGAAGGAAATGCGATACAGGAGGACGGGGTTGAATACAAGGCGAGCTCTTCTGTTTGAATGCATCATAAGGATCGTATTTCTTCACTTTCTGCGCGTAGTTGGGAAACATCAACGATCTATTCCGAATTTCCTTTCTGGCTTTATTGAGAATTGAGTTTTTGGGCCCGTATGACGGGGTGTATGCCGACCCACCATCATATCTTTGGCGGCGTACTGTAGGGTCTCGCAACAACTCGGGTACCGACACAATCGAATTTGCAGACTTCTCTTTTTTCAACCTCTGGGTAATCTTTCGTAATCTTTCTGCCGAGTCTTCTCTGAACGACTCGCGCTCATCGCTATATTTGAAGTAAAGGCTCTTCATAGGCATATCACAAAACAAAAGTGGTCGTCCCGACGCTGCTGCTGCCGCCACCACATTGCTCCGCTTACTTCTGCTATTGCTCGTCCCCGTATTGTTGGCCAATATTGGTCTATCGGGAAATTCTTTGCTCACTAGATTGATCCACAACTCATCGGACTCGGGCGTGATTTGCGGACTCAACTCTTCTATTTGCCCTAACTGCTTTGCGTTCATCTTCCGTAGCACCGGAACCAAGAGATGAAATGGTGTGGCCCCCACATCTTCTAATTTGGCCACATGCTGGATACATTTATTGGTAGCTATCTCAACTAACGATAAGACTTTTTTTCTACTTCTGGGATTATAATAACTTTGCTCCACTGATGCCATTCTGGTTTTTTTTCTATATTATGTTCATGCGTACTTTTATTTGATATCACATATGTTAATCTAGACAAATCAATGATACATTCACTACTTTCTCTCAGTATAACTTGCATAGATATTGCCTTTCTTTTTGCTACTGCTTCTTTGGGCTAAAAGATCGAAAGTGACACAAAAACATCACAATGTTCGGCCGGCCGATAAAAGTTTTATAGCGTTATACCCGAAACACGTAAAAGCGATTAAATTTATATTCTACTTCTTGAAACTAGTAGTAAGTAAGATGTTTTCGAAGTTAAGAGGTAAAGATTCTAAGGCCGAGACCAAGAAAGATCAGAAAGATTTAGGGGAAAAGTTATACCTTCCATTAAGCAAACCTTCGTCTAAATGTACGATTCCTAAAGCAGCCGAGCTTGATGGTGATCAACAAGAAAAATATGAAAAAGTATTGAAGCATTTTCAGCAGGAGGACTTGAAAATTGCTGCAAGTGAAGCTAATCATAAGGACAAGGATACTTCCAAGTACCAAAGGTTGAGCGAGTCGGAGAAGGCCTGGTTAACCAGGGAGTGTTTTCTCCGGTACTTGCGGGCCACTAAATGGCACTACGAAGAAGCTATCAGCAGAATAGAGCTTACTATTGCATGGAGACGTGAGTTTGGTATTGCTGGGTGTTACGACTCGGATAACGAAGTGAATGGTAAATTGTGTTCTCCAGAAAACGAAACCGGGAAGGAAGTTATCTTGGGGTACGATAACGATACTAGACCGTGCTTATATTTAAAACCGGGTCGTCAAAATACAAAAACATCATTGAGACAAGTACAGCATTTGGTATACATGTTAGAAAGAGTTATAGATTACATGCCATCGGGCCAAGACTCGTTGGCCTTGTTGATTGATTTCAAGGCCTCTCCTATTGGTACCGAAGGAGGAAAGATTCCACCAGTAGGAACTGGGAGACAGGTGTTGCATATCTTACAAACGCATTATCCAGAAAGATTGGGTAAGGCATTGTTGACCAATATCCCATGGTTAGGATGGACATTTTTGAAGATTATCCACCCATTTATTGATCCATTGACTAGAGAAAAATTGGTTTTCGATCAGCCATTCCCAAATTACGTTCCAATAGAACAATTGGATAAAGACTTCGGGGGTGATCTTAATTTCGAATATAATCATGAGAAGTATTGGCCTGAAATGATTAAAATTGCCGAAAGTAATAAGCAAAAGTACATGAAGAGGTTCGAGAATTTTGGTTCAGTGGTCGGTTTATCAGAATACGATTTAAGAGGCGAAGGCGAAGAATTGGTTTATCCAGTTTCTTAATCTTGTTCGATATGTTTATAGAGCGCAATCATACATTTAGGGCTTGTTTTCCTGTTTAGAGGTTTCTAATAATAATAATATAATAATATTGCACGTAATTATTTAATTTGTAAAAGGTTTAGCGCATTTTCTTTTCTCTATTATGCCTGTTTCTGGGCAGATCATAGTTTGCCAATCAACGGCATACATGAACCCTCCAGCTCCCCCTTCACTCCTAGCAAAAACCACACCAAGATCATTTTTAGCAGTACTTAAATAGTAGTTTGATCCATCTCCCAATGATATTATAACAGCTCTCACAATATCACCTGGTTTAAAACACTCTATGATTTTAACTCTATCTCTATCTGTCAGTCTCACGTCTTGAGTTCTAATTATACCCTTAAAAGTTTCACCTAAATCTGAAGCTACCGCATTTATCAGCGACGCCTGTGATGCTATAGTTGTATGCGAGCTTAAGCTTTGCGATCCTCCTCCTGCTGGCATTGAGCTATGGGCGTTTTCGCCGTTGGCTCCCAATCCAGAATCGTTCAATACATTTCCATGTCCTTCAACTGTTAAAATCTCGCAAAATGCTTGTCTTGGGTTCAACCTAGTGATACGTGCTAGCACGATATCTCCCTCTTGTGGAAGATTGATAGATATATTTCCACCTTCTGGTACGGCTTGTTCTCCGACTTCTTCGTGATATTGCATGTAAGTATTCGATTTTGGAATTACACTGACTACAAAGTTCTTAATTTTAATGTCGTTGTTTTTAGTTCCACCTTCGTCATCCTCTGCTTCTTTAACATCATTGACTATTTCCTTAATCACAATCTTGCCTATAACAGTGGCAACTATAACAGGAATTGATTTTACTTGATCTCCTTCAACATCTATTGACGATATAGTTGTACCTTTACCGGGGACATATTTTTCAACCACTTTTTCTCCAGCAGCCTTATGAGTTGGTATTATGTATTGACCTGGAATAGCAAACTTCTGTTCATGAGACATAATCCTTTAAAATGCTTAATAATTCTTATATATTTCACCTCATCGACTAAACTTCTTTGTCTAGAAAAATTGATGCAACTACATTTTGTGGTTTTGTGTAATATTCGATTAGCAAGTACGAAAACTCTAGTATACTACTATAATGATTGATTATTTATTACCAAACTACTGATTACTACATTACAAGATGTCTGAGTACCCAGAATATGTCAACGGTGAACCGCCGGTTATAACTTTACAAGAATATGATGTTGCATCGTGGAATAAAACAACCTGTGTTGACTCAAGACCCGATGGATATGTTGTCGTCATCATGGAAAAACCAGAAGTAGTTGTAGCTAGAATTGATAAAAGTGGCGACGAGACTTTGGATAAGATTTTCAGAAGTGCCAAACAGTCCTACGCAGAGCAAAATGCTAAATAAAGCATAGGGGAATCATAAAATATTATATTATTAGTATTTACTTTGGTGTTTAAATTTCACAATTGACATATATATGCAACCAATATAAAAGACCATACAGGAAGTAAATTGTAACCGTAGATCATTATATTGACTATAAGTGCTAGGCTTGATTAGAAGAAATGTGTGTGACAACGAGAATGCTCATGTATTGACATTTCGCTTTTGAATTCATTCAACTCATCCTTTATTTGTTGAGCCAACGCTGGAGTTAATTGATTACATGTAGCATTATCTGGATGTCTGTCGTATTCGTCGCAGTTGTAGGTATCATACAAAATAATTCTCGATGAGAATCTTACCCCATCCTTGATAATAGCTGCTCTTGCATTATTTTGTATAGGAGGTGATTTCTTAAGTTTGCGAGAAAACATAGAACTAAATGATTTCGGACTTGAACTATTACTTGAAATCAGTGGTATCTTATTATGGGTAAACACTGGTAAAGGATTAGGAGGAGCCAATTGTGAGAAGTTATTCTCCTGGCCAAATTTCGATGATATTTGTTGACGTGCAACTGGGTTTCTGTAATCATTTTCCTTGTTTTCAATTCTGTCGAGGGAATCATTGTCCTCTTCATCGCTTGATCCAAATCCACCTCCTACTTCTGAAGTTGGTGCTTCGTTTTCCTCATCTTCTTCATCATCTCCAAAGGACATGTTGAATGATTGATGAGAATCTGAACTTCTCAAATCATGCATTGCTAACTTTCCACCAAAAGAAGGTCCTTTTAATCCCCTGAATGACATTGATATTGGCCTATTATTCATGACATTTTTACCGTTCTCATTTATTATAGGTGAATTCTGGTAAGCTGTCCCCAATATAGGCGACTTTTCAATAAAATTATTTGATTCAGCCAAATCGTTTATTGATTCTGGAGATTCGGGAATTTGATTTGCACTAATGATTTCCAAATTTGGTGTTAAAGGACCCTTAACAGGTTCACTAGAATCAATCTTTTCAACTGGAACGTTTGCTTGCTCTTCTTCTACTTGTGATAAGAGTATTTGCTGCTTAGGATCATCATCTTGACTTGGAGGCGGTGTATTTAAAATAATAGGCGGAGCGTCTGAAGATTTCAAATACCCTACTGGAGGAGGAATTTCTTGGATAGAACTAGTGTCAAACTCTTTGTCTGACGTGCTGTTGAGTTGGTTTTGATCATTTTCATTTATCAGCTGTTGTTGATTCTTTTGCTGAAATTGATCAAATTTATCCGAAAGTAAAGAAGGAGATGAAGACATGATTACTGGCGACTTCTCAGCAATTTCCTTCGGAGAAATAGAGAAATCCAAATTATCAAGATCAATATAATCTGTAAATTCGATGAGATCATCATAATTGTCCATGGATTCATCATTAAACATCTGCGCATTGATTGAATTCATGTTCTCAACATTCAAGTTCCTTTTCGAGTTAGAATTCTTGAGAATACTATTCGATCTGCTCATAGTAGCTGTATCTAAGTTTGGAGAACTTGCTCTAGTGCCATCATATTGAATAATATTATCATCACTGCCATCGTAGTTTACGAATGAATTTCTCTTATTTGATTTTATTGATCTCATAGATCTTGATCTTTCTAAAGAAACGATACTTTCCACTTCTTGTGCACTCAATGACTTAGGAAAAAGAGTCTCACCTAATAATTGATCACTAACATCAGATTTAGCCTTCGGTTTTTCTTCTTCGCTTAGGGTTGATAATTTATCATGAGAAGCTTCTAATTTAGGAGTATTTGTTGAAGACTTGTAATCAACTTTAAATGGTGATCCAAACAAGCTATCATTATTCAACAAAGCATCACCCTCTGGCATTAATAATTCATTATTATTGGTATCAATCTCCGTAGACTTAAATTCTTGGGAATTACCAACCATATTATCATTATAATAGTCCTTTTTATTGTCATCGTAATTGCTTTCAGTAATTATTGGTGTAGGGTATTTTGTATTTGGATTATAGTCATCGTCATTAACTTCCCTGATAAAGTTTGCATTATGGATTGGATTGGATGGTTCCTTGTTCAAGAGATTAGGAGTTGAAGTAACTTCTGTTTCCGCATCATTTTGATTAGGTTTCGCCTTCTTTGACGCTTGTTCTTGGTTTTCTGATTTAACCAGCTTTGATGAATTGTCGAATGCTTTATCCTTCTTGAAAACACTTAAGAGTGAAGTACTTGAAGACATTGAAGGTTTGTGTGGTGGCCTCTCTTGTTTCGGTGGTTCAGGCAACGGAGATTGTTTATCGTACGATCCTGACACCATTTTTTCACTGCCTTTATTTTTGTTGTACGTCGAAAACTTTTTCCATCCTTCTGAGGTATTTGTATCATCGCTGTGACTTACAATATTTGAACTTGAATAGGACTTTGAACTCAACTTTCTGGGCTTGGATACTAGATCATCATCCTGATTCTTAGTAGCTTTCGATTTAGATTTAAATAAGTTTTTAAAACTAAATTTCTTTGCGGTAGAGGGATTCTGCGTACCTTTAGAAACTGCGGATAAATCGCTAAATGTGCTGCTTCTCTTATGCTTTCCTGGTAATGGGGGTTGCTCTTTGTTCTTTGTAAATGACAAAGAAAATGTTGAGTTAGATCTAGTATGAGGTGATTTCTTTAATGGTTCAGGATTAGCGGTAGTGGTATTAATAGACGAATCTGTTTCTTGTCGTCTTGTAGCCTGTTTCTTTACGGTCTTGCCTGTTTCAGGAAGTAACATACTTGAAACCTGATTTGAAGCTTCTTGCTGGTGTTGGTATTTCTTACTCTGTTCAAGTTCAAGCAATTCCTTCTGTTTCCTTTGCTCTTGTGCCTCCCTTTGTTTTTTTAATTCTTGTATCTCGCGTTGCTTTTGCTCTAATTGTCTTTGAATTCGCAGTTCTTCAAGTAAATCCTTTTGCTTCTGTTTGAATTTTTGTTGCTGCTGTTCATATTGACCTTTAAGTACTCCTTCGTTTCCTACTAATGTATCATCCTGTTCGATATCTCTATTATCTAATGATCCGTTGGATACATCTGTCGATTGTCCGTCTAAATCTTCTACTGAAGATTCATGTACAACCCTTATTGGATGTATCGAGTTTTTGTTAGATCCGTTGACCTGGGTAAATGTTTGGAATTGTGCCGGGTTCACAAGAACCGGTGTATCATCGTTAGTATTATATCCATCATCAATCGTACTCATAGACTTTTGGCTTTTATGAATTGACTCGTTAGTATTCATATTTATAGTATCGCTGAATGAGTTATCAGAATGAGCCGTTTCAAAAGTTTGCACAGAGTACGTCGATCCTCGATTTGGATCTTCGTTGGTATAATTTACAGATAACCCCGAATTAAGTGGAAACTGTGCTTGTTCCTCATCTTCCTCTTCAATCTTATCTGAAGTCATAGCCGGTGCCGAATTATTTTTTTCCGAAAGAATGCTTTCCAATGCTTTCATCGAAGGAGACACCTTCATAATGCTAGTTCTTTGCTGGTTTGCATTTATCTGATCGTTCGTTAACCCAGCATGTATCGATGTATTCGATATAGAATTTGGTATTTGTACAGACTTTCTCAAGTTGGCGATATGGTTCCGGGAATTCGACGGTCCCACATAAAATTGGTTACTCAACAAAAAGTCCTCAAAATTATCATTGGAAATCTCTGGCCCACTCATATTCTTATATCGTCTGTATATGTGTTTATGCTCTATTAGTGTGACTTCACTCTCTGGTCGTCTTTTAGGGCTACCTGGTCTATTTTTCTGTTGGTAGTAACCGCCCGTAAGGATAAAATCTTAGCACTAAGCTGGAATCTACCGTTTTATGAGAAATTACCAGAGAATAGCAATCTGGTTTGTTCTATTAGCTGTAATTAAGGTCACCACTTGAAGGATATATATTTTTCCTTGTATATGGTCTATGTTCGTCTTTTTTGTATAAAACTTCTCTGGTTTATCGAACTAATTCTGTGGAGCAATTGATATAGCCCAATCTCGTGAAATTTTTTATAACGTGGACCTTACCAAAAAAAAATATTTCACTATGACCACAAGTTCTAAATGGTTGAAATTTTATCAAATATACGAATAAAAGATATCTGTATGGATGTCGAAACGGTAGTAGTAAGGATTAAAGAATGTCTAATATTAGAATGTATAAAATTGGTAGATAAACCTACCCAATAGTAAATACGTTTTCAGGCAAAATGTAGCTGTGTTAATTAAAGCGCGTACAGCCTTAGACGCGTCTTTCGATCGTCGCATGTTTACGTAATGAAAGGGATAAGATCTGATATTGGGTTCTTAGAGGTGTAAGGATGTTTACACCCTTATTGATAGGCTAATATTTCTATTTGTTAATAGAGAGGGACAAATGTACCTGTTCAATATTATGCTTATAATACTTGAGATAGGATGACAGACATAGACATCGAAGAGAAGGGCCGCCGAGCGAAGAATATGGCACCGTGTGTAGGGTGTAACTTCAAGTGGTGGGTGTACGAGTTAATACCCTTACTTAGCCAATGGTCACTAAAAAGCAGTAAAGGTCCTAGCATATCGATAAGACATATTTTGATCTGGACAAGAGTGGGTTAATCGTCAGGTACTTCTAATATCCTGTCGCTTGCGCGGTACACGTCTAACAGATATAATCTCAGATAGTACATGCTGCGTAAGCTTAAACAAATTAGAGTTAAAGCCGATCACTATGACCGTATCCGTACCATTTAATCTGGGAACTTGATTCCTGTGAAATATACTAGTAGTATCATAGATAGGTTTTTAAGAGAAGATATGTAACAGGTCTAAAAGAATGTGTTATACATTGTTGCACAACCGCTTAGATTACCATAACGGCCTCGCTAACAAATCGAAACTAAATTAAAAAAAAAGTAAAGCCGCAATGACCAAGAATGCCTCAATAAACCCTGGCAGTAAAGAGAAACTTCGACCGAGGTACAGGATTATGAGCCAAGGCAGAATTATTCGATGCAAAGAAGCACCATCGTCTGCATGTACTTCTGCCGCAACATCCATATGCGTGTTGGCGAAACCTTTGATTTAGCCACACTGTGCACGCCTTTCTAGTCACCGACCTCCCCTATAGCCACAATAAGCTAAACGCCTATAGGGATCAAATTCTTAGTGGTGCCTTACCATGCAATGTCTATGTGCTGCGCATAATATCGGAAGAAACATTGTTCAGCGTCAATTAAATCCGTAACCCCCCACTTTTTCACATGGTATTTGTTATACGCTTACAAAATAGCAATGACGACAGAAAAATATACTCCTGAGAACATTTGTATGCCGAGGATCAAGACGCAAACCATCGCGAACCGAATCCTATATTGGTAGGGATGTCCATAATTCATTCATATACACCCATGATACTTCGATAGACGTCTATTATAAGTATAGAATTCACCTTAGTGTTACAGCGCAACATTATATTATGACCGGGCTAACTAGCCGCTTAGAAATTGTGATTCTTAGATACTCGCGTAATAGAATCACCCTGCCTATAAAGTAAAAAAAATTCAACCTGCTTAGTAAAATTCCGCAAAATGCATGCTACAAATACGCGCACTCTATAAGGCGTTATGCGCGTGGCCTTCTAAAGAATTATGCGGCTTTGCGGGAAGTCTCTGGGATACAACATGCTACAAGAATTCAATATAAACGAGCAAACGAAATAACTGCAAGTATTAAGGTTATATGAATTAATTTTATTACTCTTAGTAACATATGCAAGAAGATTTAAGAAAAATCTATAGAAGAATCAGAACTAGGTATCTCTGTGTAGTAGGTTTGTAATGCTCTTTTTAAGGCAGGTATCAACTTATCCCATCTAAGAATTCTCACCTCTTTGTCAAAGCCTCTAGGTTTCCTGATTTCATATGCCATTATCCTTTTAGCCAATTCGAATCGATAGTCCTGATTAGTGAGACGGGTATCCATACCAGCATACCCTGGTGATTTAGATGAATGCGCTGAAGAGTTATCTGGCATCCGGGAAGAAATGGGTTTTCTGGACCAAAAGGGAACCAAGTTGGATCTAATCCTACCTCTTTCCTTTCTTCTGTCAGCTGCATCCATAGATTGAGTACCAATAAGTAATTCCACGATTTCAATGACTTCTACTGATGTAATATAGTACTGGTTGTATTTGCCATCGTGCATTCCCTGGATGGGCACAGCCAGATCTTCATCGCTGGCGCTTTGATCATCAGTCTCATTTGAAATAGTAGTACATTCCAAGCAAGACACCTCAATGACATCAGTATCTGGCGGTGGTGGTAACGTTATAGGATTTTCGTTGGCTGCTCCTACAATAGAAAAATTGGCCAGCAATTTGTGCCCATTCTGAACCCTTTCGATACGGATAATCCGACGACGATCCTCTTTTTCAGATGCACTCCAAACAGGAAAGCATATCTCTTCAAATGATGCGCCATTAACATGCAACTCGATTGGTAAATATAAAGCGTTGGAGTCTACGAGGTATTTCGGTGGTCTAGTGGAGCAACCTCCTGCCGAAACACCTCTGATGATCCTGTATCGTTTTTTTGTGTCGGTCTTTTCTGTCTTAACCTTCAATTTAGGCTGCTTTTGCTGTGTCTGTAATGGTGATTGACGATGCGATACAGGAGATGGGTACCCTGGTGTCGTAGACCCTCCCGGGGCCATTGGTCCACCTGGGGCTGAATAGCCTTCTGACCCCAATGTTGATGCTGATGTATATGTATTTATGGCGCCAGTAGAATTCATGGAATTCAACGACGATGTTGAGTTGAACGGAAGGAACAGATTTTGTGCGTATTGGCTAGTCGTATTAACCGCCTCCGGATTGTAGTTGTATCCTGAAAGATCAATCGCCGGATCCATATACGTTCCATTACCAACCACTTCATCATCCAAATTTCCCGAAACCCCGACGGTCTCTTGTGCCATCCTGTCATTACCACGGTACATGTTTCCGCCGTATCCGCCATTCAATGGGTACGACAAATACAGTTGGGCAACCTGGGTATTTGTCCCTGTACTAGCCATCCATGGATTGTTTAACGTCGTAGAGCAATTCGGATGCCCTGCCATCATCATTCCGTTATTATTTCCTATTCCCAATATATTGTCTTCCAAAAATTCCACTGGCTCCTCGTAGCTTGTCCCAGGATCATGGTGCTGATTATGTTCGGGTTCAATCATCTTGTTCCCATATATCATAAAATTCATTCGAAAAATTTGAATCGAAAAATTTTTATTCAGTAAATCACAAGCGAGACTTCTCCAACTTATATATATAAAATGCAATCATAATTTTATACTTTGGTGACAATCGAGTACATCAATAATATGTACTATTGGATTCTCTCGTATATATGCCAAATGCGGAAACTTAAAATAACCTTTAAGCTTTGAGAAAAGTATACCTTACACTCATGGAAGCCCGATTTATGCAGGTGAGTGAATGTTCGCTATGACCAAACGCGCAGTGATGGGCTATACCATAGAACATCACCCGCAGAAACACTTCGATGTCGGTTCCCCCACGCAAAAAAAAGTGACATTACCGTCTGTAGTTTGATGCTACAGTCATGATATAGGTTCATAACAATAGGAAAAGCCTACAACCATACTCGCTTGGGACATGCAAGAACATATGTGCCCTCAATACATATAAAATATCGTCATCGAAGAAAATGAACAATATAGCGAGCGTTAACAAATGTACGGACCAAACAGTTCTGTGAATGCTCTTGCCCGCCTGTGGTAACATTGAGGGGTCGATTATAAACGGAGGTAAGACGGAAAATTGATTTTTTGGGAAAAGCCGAAGACGAAGTGGAAGGCATCTGGAAAACAAGTGAAAGGCATCCTTCCACTAATTGAAGACAATTCGAAGACGACAAAATGAGACAAGATGAAGTACGAATAAGCTGTGAAATGTAAGATGTAAAGACCAGAATCATGCGAAGAAGTCATTGCTAGTCTGTCATATGGCAATGCATCGAGGGTATTGCTTACATTAACAAAATAAATATGGACATTGCAGAGAATAGAGCACGTTGTCGCCTATTCTTTACATCCACGGTATGTTATCGCGCGACGAAGAAAGATTCTAGCAAAATGCAAAAATTGCATTAATTTGATAGCCGCTTTGTTTCACGACTCGAAGTCATTGGTTCTCACTGGTTGGCCCTTAGCGCCGTATTGATGCGAGTTTTCTTGAATGACTGCTTACATATCCAACTTAGGTCGCCTTCTGCGAACGATCATCGTTCATCTGTTTTCATCTCATGTCATCTAGCAGAGATTTTCATGTTAAAGATCGTTCGGTAATCTTAGGCGTGCCTGAATCTAACCTCTTTTAGACTAGTCCAGTAAATCTAGTCCGGTTCAATACACTTTCGATACCTAAACTTTGCAATGCTTCAATTTCATATCGAGTTGGGCCAAGCTCTCCTTATTACGCACCTATGTCAGAAGCCTGATTTCAGTCTTCCATACTAATATTCCATCTCACAATTGCAATTTTAACGTCTAGCTAGTGATGGGATAGATATAAGGCTTTGGAACCCCATATAAAATTTATTGGTCGTGCGCATAAGAGACCACACGATTATCCAACGGAAGCTATTATAAGAGGATACTATAGAAGTCGGTTCTATGGCACATAGAGCAGACATTTCTGTTCATTAACTACAGTAAAAATACTCATTTCTGATCTTGTTTATTATAAAGCAATTACCACTTAGGCTAACTAAATACTTATTTTTTGCTCTTGTATTGTGGGTAATATCTGTTGAATAAATAACCATCGGCCACAATCAAACCAGTTATAATTGCACCGTGAGTTGCCAAAACCACCTTATTGTCACTGTGAATTCTATGTCTTTCTAAGTAGGTCAAGTATCCTGCAACTAATCCACTGATACCAACCAATGCTTGAGTGATGACTACTGGATTCTTGAACTCTTCAGAAGCCTGAGCCAACAATTGAGTTGAGTTGTCACCAAAGTTAGCAGTGAAGTCACTTACGCTCTTAGTGACGTTGTTAATTCCCGTCTTAACACTAGCTATGAACTTGTTAAGGTATGCCTCACCGTTCTCATTGGCTTCTCTGGAGAATTCCTTGACCTTCTTGGCACCACGGTCGACGGCCTCGTGAGTCTTCTTCTTAAATTCTTCGAATTCGTCTTCTTCCAATGTTTCAACATTTCCGTTTGGATTGGTGGTATTCTTAACCTTTGGTGGTTCCGGGATCTTTTCGGCACCTATTGGTCCTGAGGAAGCAGCAGCATCAGCATATGTAGACATTTTATGTAGTATTTGTTAAATTAATTCGTATCCTTAAAAACTATATTAAGAATCAAAGAAAAGCCCTTATAGTAATTTATATTACTGTGTAATACCAGGGGTCAATCGTGAATCTATTTTGCTGATGGTGAATTAATTTTATTGCTCTATTGCTGTCCCTGTATACAGTGAACCACTCTGATTTACGTCCCTATAATTTGGTCTTTTTTACCTATTTATTGCTTGTTTTTTGTCAATGGGCCCTCTGTACCCCTTCACCCCCATTGCTAACGTATTTCTGCTCTCATTTATCGACTTTTATGGCTACCTAGACCTCTTAGTACCCTTTTGCGATGTTCCGGGTCTGGCCTATCGACTGATATTAGCAATGTTTCTTATCAGCGGGAACAAAGGCCTTGAGAAAGGTCCTGTGACATGGTCATTAGTTCGGTCTATAGGATATAAGGGCAACGACCCTACATTGTTCAAGTATTCACGATGGAGGAATTTTGCGAAAAAAAACGTTTTTGTGACGTTTCCGTTTTTGTGTAAGAAAATGATTACGTCCTCAATTTTTTCAATAATTTTTCACCGGAACATCACCACGAAGGTTCTCTTCTTTTGAATATTAATTCACATTTGTCGATCGAAAACCATAACCCCCGGCTTTCCACGTAACATTCCGACGAATAGAATAAACACAGTATAAAATGTCTGCTGAAGCTGCACCACCAAAGAGAAACTTCGCTCGTTCCAACAGAGGAGGTAAACAAAGAAGAGGTAGAAGAGATGAAGAAAAGGGCTGGACTCCAGTCACCAAGTTAGGTAGATTAGTGAAGGCAGGTAAGATCTCCTCCTTAGAAGAAATCTACTTACACTCTTTACCAGTCAAGGAATACCAAATCATTGACCAATTATTACCAGACTTAAAGGATGAAGTCATGAAGATCAGATCCGTCCAAAAGCAAACCAGAGCTGGTCAAAGAACCAGAATGAAGGCTGTTGTCGTTATTGGTGACTCTAACGGTCACATTGGTTTAGGTATCAAGACCGCCAAGGAAGTTGCTTCCGCTATTAAGGCTGCCATCATCATTGCCAAGTTATCCATTATTCCAATCAGAAGAGGTTACTGGGGTACCAACTTAGGTGCTCCACACTCTTTACCAACCAAGGTTACTGGTAAGTGTGGTTCCGTTGCTGTCAGATTAATCCCAGCTCCAAGAGGTAAGGGTATTGTCGCTTCCCCAGCTGTCAAGAAATTGATGCAATTAGCTGGTGTTGAAGATGTCTATACTTCTTCTTCCGGTTCTACCAGAACCACTGAAAACACCTTAAAGGCTGCTTTCATTGCTATTGGTAACACCTACACTTTCTTGACTCCAAACTTATGGGCTGACGCTCCATTAGCTCCATCTCCATTGGATGTCTACGCTGAAGAAGCTGCTGGTTCCAAGAGAAGATACTAATTTATTTAGTTCTTTGTATAGGTATTTGTAATAAAAATCTTCATAAAATAACAGTAACAATGTTGTAGCATCGAATTTATGATTTCGATTAACTGTGATTTAGAGTTTTTGATTCTACACAATTAATATTAATATTAATATTTAATGCAACTCTATGATACAATATATAAGCTAACTTCATTAACCATCATTAATTTCTACAGAACATATCACAAACCAGTTATGATATGGCAATGAACTAAATTATTAGTTCCGTTTGTTCTTTCTATCTTTTCTTTAATTTTTTTTTTTTTGTTTTTTTTTTATTGTTATAATATAATATACTAATACATAATAAGCCAATGACTTTAATAAAAATTGAGAGTTAAAAACACATTTTTGATAACCTTTGGTCATCATTAGCTTTCTTGGGTAGCCTGTTCCATTACTTGATCTTCTGGAACGGCAAAAGCTCTTTGGTTTGTAGCATTCTCTGAATCCTTCGACCAGGTATTTGATGGATTCGGAAGGTTTCTACCTTCTGGGTGTCTGAACATACACGTCTTGTTAGTACAATTAATTCCAAATCTGCAATCTTCATCAATTGGATGAGAAAAGAAACAATCAATCCTAACACAGTTAGCTCCTTCGCGGCACACAACTGGTGTAGTAGCATGTCTTCTTGGACACTTTAAATTGGTACAAGATGGACCGAATTTACATTGTTCCAAAATTAATTCAGGTTGAGCAGGCTTTGGCTTTGGCTTCATTTCAATTGGTGGAGCTTGGTAATTTGGAGATGGGTGAGCCTTTGTACAATTAACATCTTGACACATTTTTCCTTCTGGGCACCATTGCAAAACCAAGACTTTAGCTTCTTTGTTTGCTGGAGTTGGATGACCGAATGGACAAATATCTTTCGAACAAAGCATACCGAACTTACAAATACCAATTGTACCTGCACTTTCAGTATTCTTCTTCTTTTCCATGTATTCTTGCTTTGATTTGGCCAATTTTGCCATTAATTCATCATCTTCGCCCGGATGTAAATAGTTACAAGTTCCAGGTGCATTAGAACAATTTGGAAATGCGAAACATAACTTTGTAGGATGTGAAAACTGGCACTCTTTATTATTACAGTATGGAAAATCTCTGCAACGACCTTTTGCTGGTTTTTGGATAAATTGTTTCAAGTTTGTAACATTTGAATTACTCATCGCTAAAACCTTTTCGAAATTACCAGGATTCTGCATCGCAAATGATTTCTTAGGACCATTTCTATTATTGGAGTTTTTGCTGATACCACCACGAGTGTTGTGTCTGTTATTATTAGGATGTTGATTACGATTCTGAAGTCCCTTAGGACCAGTAGGTAAATTCATTGGCATATCGTGCTGTTGTGGTTGGGCCAGCGCATCTTCCATTGAATGTTCAAGTTGACTAACTTCCTGTGACTGTTGCACTGGTTGCTCAACTGGTTGTTGTGTTTGCATTTGTGGATCTTGTTGTTGTGGTGGTTGTTGCGCCTGTTCTGGCACTGGCTGTTGTTGCACACCTTGTCCCTGGGTCATCAATCTCTGAATTTCTGCAAAAATAGTGTTAACAAATGCCTCATCTATAGGGATGTCTACAAGTTCTCTAACTTCGGCGGATATTTCTGACGCCGTCTTGTTACTTCCAATTAAGACTAGTATGAATTCTGATACATCTTCAGCATCATCAGCAATATTAAATTTATTTGATAATTCAACAACTAATGAAGCCTTCAACTGTTGGCCTATTGGCCCTTCTGGATCGAACCCTGACATGTTTACTGAAAACTATTCTGATTATTGTAAAGAACAAATATTAATTAAATTTATCAGCAAGTCTCTGATGTTAAAAAAGAAAAAACTCTTGGTCGGATTTGAACTTGCCACCATATCATATTCACGTGATTAGATGGCCGGAAGTGTATACCCTTCATAGCTTCCTTTACTATACTGAAGAAGGACTTCAAGTACCCAGAAGTCTTGTAGTTCAATGTGAGTTGTAGATATAGAGATACCTATAGTGTTATCTGATAAAAATAAGAGAGTTTGAGGTTGTTGAATTAAATTGTAATTCAGCTTACAGTTTTCATGAAATTTTGCAACAATTCTATACTTTACAAAACTTAAGTAATGTACAATGTAACATGCATTTTAAAATATCTATACAAATTGAAACATGTCTTCAGATAATTCACCAAGAAGTTCCTTAATAACATCAACAATTTTATGCAACTCTTCAGCGATAGATGAAGTGACTAGAGTATAGGAGTATAGTAAGAAATAGTCTTCATTCTTTAAAGCTAATTCAGAATCGGTTGCATTGTATGATCGTATTTCGCTAAGTTTGTATAACATTCTATCTCTTGCATGTTCCATAGATGCGGGTTTAACTGGCAATGGAAAATTTAATTTCATGGCACTGGCAATCATGTAGAATATCAAGAAAATCCTATCTTCTAATTCACTCCGTTCTGCAGCGATATATTTCAATACATATTCCTCATTTGCACTCAATCTAGGGTCAACTCTAACCATGTGATTCATATTCTGAAATGCATCTATAATTGTCGACGTAGACTTCAATAGCTTTTCGTATGTGGCCTTTGGGAAACTACCTTTTAATCTAAATTCAATCGGGGCTTGTTTTAAAAGAGTCTCACATTCTGCTAATAAATCATTGATTCCCTTTTGGTCCTTCAATCCAATAAGACAGGAACTATTTACTGACAGATCGTAAACATAATCTAATGGGTCACTATCCCAGATAACACCCATCCTCAACCATAAAATGGCCAACCCATTCTTCAACCTTCCTCTGGCACTGTTGGGTAAGAAGCACGATGCCATAGTAAGAGCCCATATTATACCAACGGACACTGCAACGTATCTGTGAAAGGCGATTTCTCCAATAATAGGCTCATCACCCCCTTCATTTCCATCTTCTGTATCCTTTTGCGTCATACTATAGGAATATAATGCAGTCAAATTGTAAGTCAATAAAATAAACCGTCCAAATGCATTATTTTTCTTCCAATAAATGATAATATAGAAGCATGGTATTGACAAGAGAAAGCCAGTTAGTGACAACGCATAAACATTACCATCAGTTAATATCCAAATTATATAGGCAGTGACCGCACCTAAAAATGTACCAATGAACCTCCACTTAACAGTCATAGTGGTTCCTCCTAATGATTTATTCATCATGATACAGTAAATTGTTAAGGCCCATTCACCTCTCCAAAGGTTGAAAGTATGTTTTGTAAGTGGATGGTACGCAAATAGGGAAAGGAAAAACGCACCTAATCCAACTCTAATACCAAACTGGACGTCAATTCTACGGAATACTTTCAAGGCCTTCCATAGACTGAAAGACCATCTCTCAATTGCTCTAGGGCTTCTGGATACACGACTGGTATTACCTGATCCAAGGTGGTTCTGAAAATTAATTAGCGCCTCATTTAGAGAATGTTCAAGGTTGGAATTTTCATCAATTATCAGGCTATCATTAGCCAGATTACCCTTCCAAAATTTTAACCAATTCCATGTTCTTGGAGTAGTACGTGATTTTTCATATTCTTCTGCCAATTGTAAAAACTCTATCAAGTCTTCCGCGAATAATCTTAACAATGATGAAAAGTTTCCACAACAAGCTGTTACTTCTTCCTGGTCTGCCTTGGAAAAAAAGTCAGATGGCGGCTTGAAGATTTCTTGTGCATATATTTTTTCAAATGATTTTGTTTGCTTATCATGAAATAACTCCAAAGCAGATCTCAAAGAATTCTGATAGTTTGTAGTGTTGACAAAATTATTTGGTGATGACTTATTCTCAAAAGGTATCTCACTTAATACACCTTTCAAAGTGAAGATAAATGACTTCATTGATGGCGCCAAGTAGTAAACAAATAAGTCAAATAATTGAGTCGAGTTAATTGCTGTGTAGTCTATATTAGACGAGTCACCACTAATAGTCGGTGTATTGATATTAGTTAAATACTCTGTTGATTGTGATAATCTCAAAATATCATCTTCATAGCTCTCTAGACTTGAAATTGAATGGCTCTCATTATTTTGTTCTTCAGAGTTTTCTTCATGCAATAACTTCCACAGCATTTCCGTAGAACTTCTCAATGCTTGTAGGTTTCTCGTCAAAGAAATTGTAACATTAACCATTTCAGCAAAAATTGCTAATTCCTGCTCCCTTCCTTTAAACTTTAATTCAAATTTAGCTTCCTCAAAGCTTGAATTCAATTGAGCTATATTTTTCTTTAAAGCATTGAAATACTCGGCATCTCTACTTGTAAATTTAGCTCCTTTTAATATTCTATTTGGAATGATTGATAGAAGCGAAGACATGATATTGTACGAATCATTGAGATTACTGCGTAGCTTATCTACTGCGCTAACCGGCCAAAGCAAGTAGCACATACCCACTGAGATAATACAGCCAGTGACGACTACTTGAGCTGTTGAGCGGAGTCTTTCAATAGGAATATCAGCAGCATTCAAACTGCCCTCCTTAACAACACAAGCTACCACTGATATAGATGCTAAAGAACATGCTGTATTAAACGTTTGCTTATTTACCCTTTGTTTCATAAATGCAATTACACCCAAGGAAATTGAACTAACGATCAAATCAATTGAATATGAGATTTCATCTTCACCATTTTTAAAGAAAGTTCCAGCTATGAACCTACATGCAAATGACACACTGAAGCTGAATAGCAACGATATCACAACAAATAATAACGTTTGAAACATTGACCCTTTCGATCTTGAAGGATGAAAATATACAGCAACAGTTGCAACTAGATGTTTAGAATCAGTTTTTCCCAAAAATTCATCGAATGGCGTATAATATACACCCATAGATGCAATCAAATAAGCTATTGAACACTTTAGCACACTTCTGACAATGTCATTTTGATAAACTTCATGCAAGTATTTCCAACTTAAATATACTCCAACCAGTCTTGGATTTGTACGCCTGTCTGATTGAGGTAGTAATGGATCCAGTTCAGTAACGTTATTATCATCAAAGCTCTCATAGCTCGAATTTGCAAATGAAATCGTTCTACGTACTCTTTCTCCCGTATTAGCCAAAATTACAGAACTTTGTCTATTGAACATTTTAGGTCTATCCATCGGAGATGAGAGTAGCTCTTTGATATCATCCGCTGTAGTGGCATGACGTAGAGCCTTCTTATTCAGCTGTATCTTATCATTCACACCTTTGTAATTGTCATTGGTAGCCATTGGATTTCATATGGTTACAAAAAAATTTTGTGTATCCATGCTGTAATGTTACTTGGTCTGATAACAGCTTTAGATTTAGTTACAATAAATGTATCACAAAACTTATCGTATCTACAACTAATTAAAAATCAAAAATATAAAATTAATCTATAAAACAAACATAATTCATTATTTAAAAAAATACAGCTACTTATGCTGTACTAACATCATTAAGGATTAGTAAATTATCATTACTCATTAAAAATACAAAATAAAAAATCATTAAAACTTTTAGCGGAAAAAAATCGAATAACGAAAAGCTTCATCTAATCGTAATCGTGGCCAATAATTTCTTTAAACAAGTCTTCGCAAGGAACAGTAGCTCCTAATCTAGCACATAATAAGAAGACTCCACTCAATTTTCTGTGTAACGAGTAGGTTTCTTCAGGAGGTGGGGTTAATCTTTCACTTAACATAATTCCGACATTTCCTCTAACTCTGTCGGTAATGGTTTGATCTTTAAAGTTGAATGGTACACCCTTGTTATCAATTGGAGAGAAGGCTTCACCTAAAACTAAGATCGAGTCAATATGAGCATCAGTCATTGCTGGGGATTCTAAACCAGTCAAGTAGCCCAATTTCTTCGAATAGTGAGCAATCTTTTCACGATCCTTTTTAATGGCTGCCTTCAAAATCAAAATATAGTTTTCGATAAATTCGTCACCAAATTCACGAGCAGCACCAAAGTCTAATAATTCAATCTTACCGGTGGATTCGTTATATAAAAAGTTAGCCCAGTTTGGATCGGTTTGCATAAACTTGAAGTGCTTAATTTCTAATAAACACAATCTCATAATGTTGGTAGCAATCCAGTCCTTGGTCTTTTGATCCCAGTTACCCTTAGTAATTTCAAGACCTCTCATTCTTTCCATGGTTAAAACATGTTCACCACACAAGTTATGGAAAACTCTTGGAACTTCAAATACCGGGTCATCTTGAATCATATCACGAAATCTAATCAAGTTTTGAGCTTCTCTAATATAATCACATTCCCACTTCAATTCAACTCTGGCATTAGCGATTGTCTTATCCAAGAACAAACCAGCCGGTAAAATTGCTGATGCAGTCAATAAGGTCAACAAGTTATTCAAATCAGAATCAATACTATCCACAACCCCTGGATATTGAACTTTAACAACAACAGGTGTTAAATCTTCGGTGACGGCATTGTGGACTTGACCAATCGAGGCAGCAGCAACAGGAACGTCATCGAAAGATGTGAATAAGCGTTCTCTCCAGTTATTACCTAAATCTTTTACCATGACCCTTTCTAATTGGCCTGGTGGCATGTAATGAGCAGAGTTTTGTACTCTGAGTAAGATCTGCTGGATTTCAGCTGGTAAGATAGACAGGTCTTGAAACGACATCATTTGTCCAATCTTCAAAGCAGCACCTCTCATTTTTGAGAACTTCTTTGCCATTCTCTCAATATTTTGTGGAGACAAAATAAGCGACTTCATAGAAATGCTTGATTTATTCCCTGATGCATAGTGCTTGATACCCTGGGTGGCAGCTCCCAAACCCATCCCAGCAGCCAAACTTCCGTAGTGGAAAATCCTGGCCAATCTAGTACTTGGAACTTCACTCAGTGACATCTGGAACTCCGCAGGCTTCTTTACACCTATCACGTCTTTCGATACTGTTCTTTGGGTCTCATTCAGCATGTTTTGCTCTGGAGTCAATTCTGATGGATGTGAAAAGGAGTTTGTGGAGTACATTCTCCTTTGGTTGACAGCTCCCCCAATTTTAGCACCATGTCTTGCAGCCTCAGCTTTAGCCATCGCATCGCTCCACATGCTTGAACCACCGCATTTCTTTAACTGCTTATTCAAAAACGAATACTGAAAAGCTCTTGTAGCATCTCTCTCCACCACAGAGACACTGTCGTATGCAATTTTCTTTACTGTGTTAGCCATGGCCGTAAGTTCATAAATATTTTTGCTAACAGACATATTTATAATGAATGAAAAATTTCCCTCGAAAAAACTATCAATGTATAATTAATGTGTAATGCTATAGTGACAGACGTCCACAACGTTGATAGTATTTCTATTTTGTATTTCGTATTAACCGGGTGTTGCTAATATGAAGATACTAACAACCTCTAGAATCTAAGGTTCGTATACAATAAATTCGAAAAGAATTCTTTCCTACAAAATTCACTGTCGTGCCAACATCTTTTCTTTTAAAACCTGCTTCTCCAATTCGCAGTTAAAAAAAAATAGTTAGCCCGCCTCTATCAAATTTTGCTTCCTGTGCGTGGGGTTGCGGTGCTGGAACTTTTTTCCACCAAGAGCTCTGATCTATTGATGCACGAATCGTGGTGAGCAATCGTTTGTGATATGCTTGGAAAGGTTGCTAAACAATCTTTCGCCTATGTACCGCCAAATACCTCGGTGACCGCCCATTTTCCCGATAGATGAGCTACCATACCATGAATGTGATTTTGATTTGGTCGTCATAACAGGTGTATAGCGAGCATCACTAGCGGCACGCGGAAAAACACTGTCCGGGATACCGTTGGTCCGACGCGACTTGTTTTGAGACGCAACCAAGGTTCGAGACAGTGGGAGAGATGCGGTGGGTGTATTTTGTGGTGGGTGGCTTGTGGCGCGTGCGATTGGTGCTGGTGATCAGGACGGTTAAGGGGAACTTGTCAGGTGCACAATCACGTGCAATAAAAATGATTATGTAGCTGGGCAAAGAGTGTGGCTTTGGTGGTGTCTGCAGACACAGATAGTTTAAGTGTTTAAGCGGACCAGCGAATCGCGCGGTGGGAGCACCCACTGGGCACTGGGCACTGGGGGGCGGTCCTTACACCCTTTATTTAAATTCGGACTTAGGGGTAAGGATGCAAAATATGCCAAACATTTCCGAAGGGTATCGTGCACACGCACGTGAGGCATCCATACACCCAAATCAATTTTTGAAATTCGTAGCTCATCTCAACTGATAAAGTAAGTAGTAGTTAAAAAAATTAAATAGCTTGCAAACATACATTATGGGTGAAGATAGATCATATAAAAAGCAGAAAGTAGAAGATTCGAAAGCAGAGGAAGTAGCTGAGGCTGCAGAAGAATCTTTGAGATTGCATCCACATCCTAGGGAACGTACACCCTTAGTTCACCATGACGATGGAGAATTTTCTAAACTTACGAGACACACTACAACTGCATCACAAGCGGCCAAGTTGGAGGATGGACCAAACAATCCTTTTACTGGAAAGCAGCTTAGCTCCAAATACTTTGGTATCTTGAAAGGAAGAAGGGATTTACCAGTTCATGCACAAAGAGATGAATTTTTGAAAATGTTTCAAAGTACACAGATTATGGTGTTTGTAGGTGAAACCGGTTCTGGTAAAACGACGCAAATCCCTCAGTTTGTACTCTACGATGATATGCCACACTTGATGGGCACGCAGGTAGCATGTACACAACCTAGAAGGGTTGCAGCTATGTCTGTGGCCAAGAGAGTTGCCGATGAGATGGATGTTGAATTAGGAGAAGAAGTGGGTTACAGTATTCGTTTCGAAAATAAGACAAGCAACAAAACTATATTGAAGTATATGACTGATGGTATGTTGTTAAGAGAAGCAATGGACGACCATGATTTGAACAAGTACTCATGTATAATATTGGATGAAGCGCACGAAAGAACATTGGCCACTGATATTTTGATGGGTTTATTGAAACAAGTGAGTGTTAGAAGACCAGACTTGAAGATCATTATTATGTCTGCTACATTAGATGCAGAAAAATTCCAAAACTATTTTCACAACTCTCCTTTATTAGCAGTTCCAGGTAGAACCTTCCCTGTTGAGATCTATTATACTCCTGAGTTCCAGAGGGATTATATGGATGCTGCCATCAGAACAGTGTTACAAATCCATGCTACTGAGGATGAAGGGGACATCTTGTTGTTCCTTACTGGTGAAGAAGAAATTGAAGATGCCTGTAGAAAAATCGCATTAGAGACAGACGAATTAATCAGAGACCAAGATTGCGGTCCTTGCAGTGTTTACCCATTATATGGTTCTTTACCACCTCACCAACAACAAAAGATTTTCGATCCAGCTCCAGAACCTTTCAGACCAGGCGGAAGACCAGGTAGAAAGATCATTGTTTCTACTAACATTGCTGAAACTTCCTTGACCATTGACGGTATTGTCTATGTTGTAGACCCTGGGTTCTCCAAGCAAAAAGTATACAACCCAAGAATCAGAGTTGAATCATTATTGGTATCGCCAATTTCTAAAGCGTCTGCACAACAAAGAGCTGGTAGAGCTGGTAGAACTAGACCGGGAAAATGCTTCAGATTATACACTGAGGAAGCTTTCCAAAAAGAATTGATCGAACAATCGTACCCAGAAATCTTGAGGAGTAGTTTGGCATCTACCGTATTGGAATTGAAGAAATTAGGAATCGATGATTTAGTTCATTTCGATTTTATGGACCCTCCTGCACCAGAAACAATGATGAGAGCTTTGGAAGAATTGAACTACTTACAATGTCTTTCGGATGAAGGTGAATTAACCGCATTAGGAAGAATGGCATCACAATTCCCATTAGATCCTATGCTTGCAGTCATGTTGATCGGATCTCCAGCCTTCAAATGTTCTAACGAAATCTTGAGTATTGTTGCGTTATTATCTGTTCCAAATATTTTTGTTCGTCCTGCATCAGCTAGAAAGAGAGCAGATGAATGTAAATTGGCATTTGCCCATCCTGATGGAGATCATTTGACTCTTTTGAATGTCTACGAGGCATTTAACTCCGACGAAGCTCACAATTTGGGCTTACACCAATGGTGTCGTGATAACTTCTTATCTTACAGATCCTTGTTATCGGCCAGAAGTGTGAGATCCCAATTGCAAAGAATTATGGAAAGATACGACTTGGAACTTATCTCTACTCCTTTTGAAGATAAGAGCTATTGGACCAACATCCGTAAGGCCCTTGCAGCCGGCTTTTTCATGCAAGTTGCAAAGAAGAAGTCAGGAAATAAGGGTTATTTGACTATTAAAGATAACCAGGATGCATTGATCCATCCAACCACTGTTTTGGCTTCTGAAAGTGAATGGGTCATCTATAACGAATTTGTTTTGACATCCAAAAACTACATCAGAACTGTCACTTCCGTTAAACCAGATTGGCTTGTTGAGTTGGCTCCTAATTATTACAATTTAGACCACTTTTCGAAGGGTGATGTCAAATTATCACTCGAAAGAGTTATAGACAGAGTAGAGACTATGAAAAAGTTAGAGAAAAAAAAATCAAAGAAATCTAAAAAATAGTTGTAATCATACCAGTATATATTCTATAGATTAATAAAATCCGTTTCAGTACAGCACTCGTAACTATATACCATTTACTGCTCTTACAATACATATTCACAAGTATACACTGTTCTTACTGTAATTTTATACCAACATACACCATCCACAGCAATCATACATTATCTTACGGCGTATAACCACCTCATCTGCACATTGAATTTACTCGTTTAAGCTAATCGAAGACGAGTTAAGCGAGTTACTCGATTAGTTATAGGTAGTCGCGTTCATGAAGAAAAATAAAAGCTAGCTATACGACAACATTTCAACTCTTCATTTAAAATTATAGCACCAGTCCAAGTGGAAAGTATAAGACAATCTAAAGGGGATAATACAGGCATAGTTGTTTTGATTAGCTGGTAATTTGAAAGAGAGGTTAAAACAGCATATCTAATTTGTTACACGTCTATTAATAAGGACATAATATAAATATAAACAAATATAGTCGAAGATGGGATTATTAATGGTATGTTATTTGATGACAATGTCTTGATACTTATAGGAAACAAGGAACTTAAGACTTAGAGACTGATGAATACTAACAAAAAGTAGTCAAAGCTTTTCAAGAACCGTGAGATGAGAATATTGATGCTTGGTCTTGATAATGCAGGGAAAACCACAATATTGTATAAATTGAAGTTGGGAAAAGCTTCGACAACGGTACCTACAGTAGGGTTCAATGTTGAAACCGTGAAGCATAAGAATGTGTCATTTGCAGTTTGGGATTGTGGTGGACAAGAGAGAATTAGACCATTATGGAGACACTATTTCACCGGAACCAATGCATTAATATACGTGGTTGACTCGTCCGATCATGCCAGACTTGAAGAGTCAAAAACAGAATTGTTGCGGGTTATTAGCGATAAGGAGTTATCCGAATGTTTACTAATAGTATTGGCCAACAAGCAAGACATTCATGGGGCCATCAAGCCCAAAGAATTAATCGACAGGTTTGATTTACATAACTTACCAGGGCAGCATACATGGTCAGTGATACCTACTGTTGCCACAGATGGTACGGGCTTAATTGAGACATTAAACTGGATCTCCAAGCATGATGCCTGAGGACTTTCATTTCTTACAATATGCGTAATAGACTGTATAGTTTGTATATTAAATTGTTTAATAATCATGTAATAATATAATAGGCTGCTTTACGCAGCACGTACGAACAAATTTACAGTTGCACATAAGCCTACTTACAGTACATATGTTATTATTTTGACCAGCATTTCACGTCTCCAGATTCCTCGCCAAAGTACGTTTTGTCTGCCATTTGTACAAACAATCCGGTTTCTACCACTCCGACTAATTGTTTGATGTCGGTGTGCAATTTAGCAGGGTCTGCAACCTCACCGAAATCGGCATCGATCAAAAAGTTGTTGTTGTCGGTCACCACTGGTCCTGCCTTGGCTGAACCACCCTGTCTCAAATCAACGGTCGTTGCACCCATAGATTTCAACTCCTTGATTACCTTGGCATAAGCACATGGCACAATTTCAATAGGTATTCCCTTTCTCCATTGTATACCCAACTTGGAGGGTGATCTCTTACGGAAATCGGCCACAACCACAAACTTGCTAGCAGCAGCTGCCACTAATTTCTCTTGGAAAAGACATGCCCCTCCACCCTTGATCAAGTTCAACTCCGTGTCCACCTCGTCGGCCCCGTCGAACGCAATGTCCACTTCAGGATACTGCTCGATCGTTCCCAACCTTAATCCGTTATCAATAATCAACTGCTTCGACTGAAATCCCGTAGGAATACACACAAACGATTCCTTGTTCTTCAATTGACCTATTCTTTCTGCAACATAAATCACCGTCGACCCTGAACCCACTCCAACCACCTTTGCATTCTCCGGGAAATTCTCATCCACCGCCTGGTATGCGGCACTCTTCTTAGCTTTTTCTACCAATGATGCTCCAGTAGACATGTTTCGAATGTATCTAGCGTTTACTAACCGTCTTAGCATATATTCAGCCTCTCTTCGCTTGTAAAGACTGCCTAGCACCTCATCCCTAGTCCACTAGCCACTACTCGCTGGATGAATCTTCCACCCAAAAATCATATTCCTGCAGATAATCCAAAAGTCAGTCCGGTGTGTGGATTTTAATGGTGCAGGGTCTAACCCCGGATATAATGACTCAATTCGGTAAGCGCCTTGATCGTACTGCAGACGATCGCAGCAAAAACACAGTCACAAACATCACATGATATAGGACCCGTTTTGGAGCTCATCGCGCCAAAATTGAACATTTGACACGTCCTTGAGAAATTTGGAGGAAAAAATGGTTTTGTGTAATTTTTCACTTAGCGGTGCGAATTTTGGAAAATTTTCTCAATACACTGTGAGTAGGCTCGATTGGGTTGCACTCTTACTGTCTGGAGCAAATTGTATAGACAAAAAAAAAAGAATCGAAAGTTACAAATTTGTTATTACTAAAGGTTTGTTTAGGATCCACAAGAAATACCATCAGTAAAACATGTCTGCTGCTAGCAAAATCTTATCTGAAAAGCCAAGTGAATTAGAGTTACAAGTCGCTCAAGCTTTCGTTGACTTAGAAGGTCAATCCGACTTAAAGGCCGAATTGAGACCATTACAATTCAAGAGCATCAAGGAAATTGATGTCAACGGTGGTAAGAAGGCTTTAGCTGTTTTCGTTCCATGTCCATCTTTAGCAGCTTACAGAAGAGTTCAAACCAGATTAACCAGAGAATTAGAAAAGAAATTCCCAGACCGTCACGTTGTCTTCTTAGCTGAAAGAAGAATCTTACCAAAGCCATCTAGAAGATCTAGACAACAACAAAAGAGACCAAGATCCAGAACTTTGACTGCTGTCCACGACAAAATCTTAGAAGACTTGGTTTTCCCAACTGAAATTGTTGGTAAGAGAGTCAGATACTTAGTTGGTGGTAACAAGATCCAAAAGGTCTTATTGGACTCTAAGGACTCCACTGCTGTCGACTACAAGTTAGACTCATTCCAACAATTATACCAAAAATTAACTGGTAAGCAAGTTGTTTTTGAAATCCCAAGTGATGTTTACTAAATGGATCCAATTATTAGCAAGGGAGAGAGAATTATGTAAATGTGTGTTTAATTATTATAATATTATTTTATTTAAAAGAATAAAGGTTGGGATAGATGCCTTTTATATAATTTTTTCTTAATATTTGGTATATATCATTCTTCACATATATATAAAATCGTTCTGAAGTTGTATTAATGTTTTTCTATTGTACGATCGATATAATGTAGACTACACTATACTTGGATTATTACATTTAGTGATTTGCAATTGGGGGCGTTGTATTATAATGCTTATGCATCCTTAACATAACTAGTTGGGAACATACCGGTGACCCCATTCAACTCACCTTCGGTCCAACCACTGCCATCTGTATCAGCTTGAACTAATGCAATCCTATCCCCAGCAGTTATAGTCAATTCATCGTCGCCGTCAGCTTGGTAGTCGTATAATGCTTCTACGTACTGGACCCTCTTCGCACCTCGTTTTGGAGCAACTGAGGGTCCCTTCTTCTTACTACCACTGTTGATACTAGCCGCTGCTGGAGTTCCCATACTAACTTCTATATACGCAGTAGGTACAAGACCTTCGTGTCCTTGATTCGTACGAATCATTGTCCACCCTGAACCGTCATCTTCATCCACGACATCAAATTGTTCACCTGGACCAATAGATGCTTCATCATCACCTGTAGCATCATACTGGTACAAAGCTTTACCTCTTGGTCCAGCTGATGCCGATGATGCATTAGATTGTCCTCTGTTTCGTCTTATATTGAAAAGACCGGCGTGGGACTTTTGACTAGTGCCCGATTTTACAGTGTGCAACGAGTGAGCATCGGAGTTGGTATCATTAACAACTGCTCCACCTCCGTTGTGTTGTTTCTTGCCTCTTAAGAATCCAAACTTGGACTTCTTCTTTTCCCTCACCTCAACATATGATAAATCTTTATTTCCAGCAAAATTTTGAATTACTTCAATTTCAACTTCGTTCTTAATTCTTTCACTATCAGTTTTCAAGAACCTTTGCAAAAGCAGTAAGGAATTGTTCAATTTAGTGTCAAACTTCAAAGTTAAATTAGATAACTCTGCTTTACGTGCTGCCGTGACTTCCTCTAAGCTTTGCTTGCTTTCGATACACAGATCTTCGAACTTCCCAATATCATTAGAGCAGATATTCAATCTTCTCTTCAATTCTGTAAGCTCGGGCTCCTTGGTTATTAAACTTTCATCATCGTGCCATATAGCACAAGGAATAAAATAGAAATCTTGAGGTTCTTTCCAATCAGATATATTGTGCTTAATAAACATCGCCACATCCAACTTTGGGTTATTTTGATCGATTGTGGAATCAATAACGTGTAATTTCTCTTTGATACGATCATTGGAGTTCCTTTCTATTATAGAAGCATTCTTTAATAATTTATTCAATAAACCGACTCGGCTCTCATTAAGTTCTTGGAAGTAATCCAACAATTCTGGGACATCCTGATAAAAATACTTATCCTTTAATCTATTAGCTATATTGATTTTGATCAAATATTCGTTCTTGCCAATGTTCATAGCAACTTCCTTCTCCTGCAACTTTTGTTGGTACTTTTCACTCGACGATTTCTCCGTTTTCTGCCTTGCACTCTCCGTAGATTCACATAGAGAGTCGTAATGCTTCTTAGCTTTATTCACCTCTTCTTCCGTCTTAGTTTTTTCGGATACCAAATACTCATCTATCGTTTCTATCTGTTTCGCTATTCTCCCCGTCTTGTTCTTTAACAGCAGAAGGTTGTCTCCAAGTTTCGTGTTAATTTCTCTACTAAACTGAACCTTCTCCTCGGCAATTGCTTCCGTCTGTGTTAACACCTCGTTCCAAAGTACTAGGGATGCGCTTTCTAAAGATCCCGGCGTGATCTGGGGTTCGTCCCCAACAGATAACAGGGTAGATATCTTGGCCTTCTTCTCGAAATGTTTCTTGCATAGTTCCAGCAACCTCGATGCATATTCCTTCTCAATAGTAGCCCTCTCACGATAAAATTCTTCGATATCATTGATCCAATTGATCCCGTTATTTACCCATTTAGATGTAGGTTTAAACGAATCTTTCAAGTCATTTCCAATAGAAATCTCTTCAAGTGACATATTCTTCTATTACTTAACTAAATTCAAAACTTTTTTCTATCACAGACGAATCCAAATCACTTGCTATTCTCGGTTTAGCTACCCGTAATCCTCAAATCAGCTACTGATTCACTTTGAACTCCTATAATCAGGCGCTGTTGTAGATTATCCTCAATAAATGTCGTCAATTATATACAAATGTCGTGAAAGTTTTTGAAATTTTGCACCCACTAATAACAACTTTTAATGGTTGAAGACTAACTAAAGGATATCTGCGTGGTTTTGGATAGTCATTATCCTCCTCCATTCGCCATCTATCTTTTCATTGCATCAAATTTCGAACTATTCGAAATCGAAAAATATTGGTGAATAATGTCGTTTGTTCTGCATATAATATTGACATCAAACTAACCAGGATTAAGCAATAGAAGTATCATAAGTATAGGTAATATTAAAACTCAATAGTTTGACCAATTCGCTGGTTATTAAGGTGCTCGTTCATATTTGTATATTATCAATACACTGTGTTGTATATTTTCATAAAGTTTTCGGCTCAAAATTACTGCATTGAGGGGCAAACGAAGTTTACTTAAACTGGCTTCAGTGTTTCTTCTTAGAAGGCTATTCCCACGTCTGGTTAAAAGGAGATCATCTTATTCTAAGTTAACAGTTCTTGGAGATATTTACAAAGAATACAAGGCGTTGAAAAGACAGCACCCGATAAAGATCGAAGAGCCGCAATTCGGATATCAACCTAGGAAGTTCAAACGCAGTATTAAGATGATGCAACGAAATGGGTCTCCACTGGACGCAAATGGTGAACAACATGAATCTCTGACTCCACAGTCACCTAATTTGTCGAGAAGGCAAAGACTTATAGGACTTGCTAAGGCTACAAGGGACAGTTATATGCCTAAGATCTCACTGATCGCTTCAGGGGTCTCCAGTAGAGCCTTGGGTGGTGACTATTACGACGAAGATGGCAATGTTAGACTTCCTAAGGATGCTACTATTACCTTATTCCCAGCATACACCAGAAAGACAGAAGATGGTAAATATCATGTTGATGTGAAAGGATGGCTCTCGTGTCCTGGAGTAATGTCTAGGAAGAACCGTTTGATTCTATCGTTAGCCAAGCAAATCACCCGTTATAGTTCTAATCCTACAACTGCAAAACAGGCAATAAACGAATTGGAAGATGAGCGGCTTGAACCTGATGTGATTACCCCGAGTGATGATGCAGTTTCCGATGTGGAGTCAATAAATTCTAGAGGTTCATCTATAAATACTATTTCACAGAATGAAAACAAACAACTTCAAACATCGGTTACAAGCTCATCTGTACGTAGCAGTACTCCAAGCTTTAATGATGATCTCTTAAAAGAAAGGTTGAGTAATTTTATTGCCAGGTCTATTGCAAGTGCAGAGTTAGTGATTCTGATTGGATCTCAGGATAAGTTGGAACTTAGTGAATTGAAGTTTAAAAGCGTTATTACTGATGGTTATGGACATTTTGAAGCATGTGTGGAAGTAAGCTATGCCCCTTCGGTAGTTCAAGTAAAAGCAGCTACTGATGAAAGCATTTTCTCCTTCCAGGATATAATGCTCATTCCTAGTGAGGGCTTAGGCTTGATCAGTGATATAGATGATACTATCAAATTAACTGGTGTTACGGGTGACAAAAGAGAATTGATGAGAAATATATTGCTAAATGATATAAATCTGTGGAACATTCCTCCAGTAGTTAAGTGGTATAATCAATTATACGAGCATGAGAGTATATCGTTTCATTATGTCTCAAACTCTCCGTGGCAGCTTTTTTCTAGTATAAACAAATATTTCCAAGAGGTAAAGCTACCATTAGGATCAGTGCATTTAAAGCAATATACTGGAAGTTTTATATCGTCATTAATGGAGCCGTCGTCTTCGAGGAAAAAAAGAGCATTGTCTAAGATTGCTGAAGATTTCCCTAAGAAGAAATTCATATGCGTTGGTGATTCGGGTGAACATGACTTAGAGGCTTATGCAGATTTGGCTCGAAGTTATCCGTCTCGTATCATAGCCATATATATCAGATGCGTTGAAGACTCCTTGTCCGATATTGATGATAAGAAAATTCTAAAAGAACTTACTAAACTTACTTCTAAAAAAGAGGCCAAAGCTGTCTCAAAACAAGTTTCGTCAAAGCCCAATGAGGATGAGATTGAAAATTTAATTGATTTAACAGACGACACTCCTGTATTTGCAGCTGAACGTTCGAAGAAACTTCCACCTATGATACCGCATAAACCTTCAACGCTACAGGGGAAGAAACTAAGCAGAAAACCACCTTTACCAATTCGTGATGAATTGAAGAAATCACATACCGATACTGAACTTGCGCGTTCAAACTCCACGGATTCTGTTTCATCCCAAGAAAATGAATCTTCATGGAGAAATTTAACAGGAATACAATCAAATTCTAATGACAATCCTCCTCCAATGCCGCTTAGAAGACCAACATCTTTTACTTCCAAAGCAACTGCTGAGGGCTTTACGTCGACATCCAATAATGATTACAGTGTTTTTGATAATTTGCAAGATGTTTATAATACACATAACTACTATGAGTTGGAAGATATTGACAAAAAAGGTGCTCAATGGATTAGAAGAGTTGTTACAGCGTTGGAGGCATTAGAGGGTACTGGTACGAAGATAAAGTTCTTTACTGATGATGAAAATGATTTTTTCACCAACAGTATAGATATAGTGAAAGATTACCTACGTACAAATAATAGTAATTAATATTTTTCTTAGAGATAAAATGTGTATCGGAAGATTATATTCGTATTATACATAACAACAAATTCGTTGTAGGATTAAAAAGGTAACCCAGCCTTCTATTATCTATCAATAAACAAATCTAAGCCTGTGGCTCTTCTTTACTATCATTCGAGGTGCTCGAGTTTGGTGTTTCTTCCAAATTTACAGTACCATCACCATAATCTTTGAAACTTTCTTCAGTTTCAGGTAAATTCTTTCTAAATTCAGATAAATCCCATTCTGTACCTTGATCAGTACTATCCTCTTCTGTATAGAATTTGTCGGCAAATTTGTTCAATATAACCTCTTTTCCTGTTAACACCTTTTTACCATTCCTTTCTTCTTCTTTTTTCTTTTCGTCGGCCTTCTTCTCTTGTTGCTTCTTCTTCCACTCGGCAAATGATTCCAACGTAATTGGTGTAAATGAACTCTTGTCTAATTTACCTCTTTCTAAATCCAAAAATTCTTCCAAACTAATCTTTGGTGCCGATTCCGATGCTAATCTCTCTAATCTCTTTTGTTCCTTTGTCTTCAATACGAATCCTGGTGGTAAAGAATGTCTATATTTACATTCATTACCTCCATTAGGACAAACCCAAAACCAACCGTACTTTCCATTTTCAACCGCATCAATGAAATATTTACAGACTTTATCGGTCGTCGTCTTCAAGTTACCATGCTTTGATAAAATAACATTTCTCAATTTTTCTTCATCCCATTTATCCATCGTATCTTCTTCTTTCTCTGTTCTAGCATCGGTATATAAATCTTTCTTAAGATCTTTTCTTCCCACATTCAAATCATGAGAAAACTTACATTTATTACCTTTAGCACAGACACCTTTCTTGAAAAATTCACATAAGATGGACTTTGGATCTACACCAAATGGTACCTTTGGTTGCTGAATACCGAATAAAGCAGCAGCCTCCTTCTTAGCTTCTTCAGAGGCCTTCTTTTCAGCAGCCTTTCTTTTGGCTTCGGCTTCCTTCTTCTTTGCTAACCCACCATCAGCACCTGCCTCAATTTGATTGATTTGATTTTGAACTTTCTTAGACTTATTCTTATTTTTCAAACCAAAAGTCTTATCACCAACTGACTTGGCCTTTGCTTTGGCCTTATTCTTATCTGATATTTGAGGCTTCTTCTTAGGTGGCATGTCTAATTGAACTACTTTAATACTGAAGATAAATTTGCTATACTACTTTTTTTTTTCATACCTGAAAAATTCGCTGACGTAGTGAAGAAATTATCACGTGAATAAAATATTAAGTAAGAGACCTTGTATGTATTATACACTATTGATTATTTACGTTAGGAGATCCTCTTTTTCTTGTCTTTAGCCTTCAAATTAGGGCGTTGACTTGCTGGAGTTGAATGAGGTGGCGTAGCCAGATTATTCACAAGATTTTTATCAGCATTCTTATTGGAACTCCAATAATTATGAGGTATGCTGGGGGATGTTGCAACACTGTTAGAGTTTGGCGAAAACCTATTTGATTTTTTTGATTTCCTTTTACTACCACCTATCAAATTCTCAAACCTCGTAGATGTTTCATTGGTATTAGAAACATTCGAATCCGTATTTCTCATAATGGGGGACGATACTTCATCCTCGTAAGGCGAGAGAGTTGAATTACTTAACGATGGAGACCTAGGAGATAAGGTATACTCCGGGTCAAATGTCGATGATGTGGGCATTTTTGGAGTAACAAAACTGTCATTTTTTGACTTTATTGAATGCTTCGTATGTCTGAATGGAATGTACGACTTCTTATACATTGCTGATGCACTAGGACTAGCATGCTCACTTGCTCCTATGGAGTCAGCCAAATTATTTTTGAACGAAGTGTTAGACTTAGTTCTTGCTAAACTTCTATTAAGGATGAGGGATGCCTTGTTATCATAAACCTGTGGAGCAGAATCCATGAAGGTCGCTGGGTCACTAGAATTGCTGTATTTTGTGTCAACAGATGCACTATGAATATGATGAGAAGTATTCATAGGTACTGAACCATTCTGATCTGTGTCCTTAGTGAAAAACGAATCAAAATCGTCCAAAGCTGCCCACATGTTACTCAATGACGCGTCTGGCTCCTCGACACTTGCTGATGCAGCATCTCCATGATCAACAACAGGTGCATAGTAATCTTCCATGTGGAACTGAATATTTTCGTCATTATCACTTTCTACATCATTCTCATCAACATACGTGGTTTCAGTGCATGTTGAAAATACAGCATGAACATTGTTTCGGGTACTGGCTGCAGTTACAACTGGCATCGGAACAGCCCATCCGCTTTCTTCGGGAATACCAAACAAAGTAGCTGTTTTTTCATATTCCTTTTTCATCGATGAATTGCCTAAACTCATTCTTAATACATCTTTATCTAATTGTGAGCCTGATATTATAACAGCTTCGTCTAAAACTGCTAATGCCGGTTCTGCATAGTCAGTTAATAGTAGTCTTAGTAATGGAGAAATGAGATCTGCTCCAACTCCAACAAATTCATCTCTTTCTAAATCAACTAATGGAAAAATGTGTTTTAATAAATTCATCGTTTCCAACTTTATCCATGGTGTTTTATTTGATAAAAATCCTAGAAGTAAAACTAATACTTGAGCTTCATATTCAGGGAAAAATATATTATTAATAGACGAAACCGTTTGAACTAGGAAGTCCTTCTTCGATCTAAATCTGTTCTTAGATAATGACACTAAAATTCTTGCTAATGCTGGCTTACCACAGTTATCGGCCATTTTACTTACGACATTCGCCGTTTCTTCAATATCCTTACTTATATCCTTTTGATCTAATGCATGTAAGAAGCGCGGTAAGTTTGCAAGGACTGACATCAATAATCTGGTATCACCTGTACCGATAATTTCACTATCCTTTAGGTGATTTAGTTTATCAAGGAATTTCATTGAAGGTTCCCACGCCGTAGCTGAACGTAATCCAACCATAACTATTTGTTGTAGTCCTTCAAATTTACCTTCCCACTTAGGAGGGAATGTTGAAATTAAGCAGGATACTGTATCTGGTGCATCTAAATCAATTTTAGATACAAATTTTGACATTGTGGATAAAACTTCAACAAATTCCTGCTCGTGGACGGTACTCAAACATGCGACACTGGACCAAAACAACTGAGGAAAATCAATAAGCTTTTCTGAGTCTAATTCAGCAGTGATAGCATTCAAAGTCATAAGAATCTGCATAGCAAATCCCTGTATATCTAGAGTCTCGTCGGAAATCGTGTTAGACAAACGGTGCAACATATCTTTAAGCATACCTTGATCTAAAAAGGAAAGCAAAGATCTAAATATTTGAAATGAACGACATGCAATATGTCTTACAGCGCAAGTAGTAGCCCAGTGTAGCGATACCCTGCTCCAATCATCTTGTAGGGTAGGGACAATAGGCGTCAAAATCTCTAGGACATTACGCGCTAATAAATCCATATTCTTAGGTGTTCTGGCTCCTTTCTTGTCATTGTTTAAGTCATCGTATACCCACAAATACTTGAAATGGTCTCTTTGTCTAAGTGCCTCGATTGTTTCAGCTGTTTTAGGTTCTTTGGGTGCCAATGTATGTATCAAATGTATTAATAAAGTGCCTGCCAGTTCTTGAACAATACTTAAATAATGATCCAATAATGAAAACGCCACATGCAATAAAAGAGGAAGGCGTTCTATCATACGCTCGTTATGAATAGTGAAAATATCAACTAAGAAAACCATCGATAGCTGTCCTGAAGAGAAAACGGCATCTTTTTCATTATAAGGTATAACATTCCATAAGCTCGAAATATACGGAAATTCTGGTGAAGTAACAGGGATTAAATAATTTGTCAGAGGCTGTGACGGAACCATTGCCTTGGGTTGTAAGCTTTCAATAAA